GTCAAGGAGTTTTGAAAGTAATGGCTGGCGGGACATGGAGGCATTGGAAGCTTTTAGCTCTAGCTGCACTCCTATAGAAAAATATTATTTGAGCTCGCTCATTTCCTCTTAAAAGTTCTGTCTGCCCAGAAATCCAATTCCTCTCATTGGCATATTTGTGGAAAAGATATCGAAGGACAAGTCGCTCGTATAGTTTTCAAACGTTTGCACTCACAAAACGCGCAGAGCCTAGGTTAAGTTTAATAAGGCTACCGTTTTCGGGCTGTTTATCTAATCGAGTTGGGTATTAAAGTCGTTAGCCCGTGAAATAGAAGTTCGTCAACCTTGCAAATCGAAGTATCTGAAAATTTTCGTATAAGTTCGTATATAAGTAAAAGAAATTTAATCTGCTTTAATTTCTGTCTACAGAGTACAGATACGCCGCTGCTGAGGCTGCCTAGCCCAGTAGCGCGTTGACCAGGCGCGTGCGTTCTATAGAATTCACTTAGTACGAAACATGTCGCTGTTTAGGTTCCCGTGAGAACTCGCACATCGACCTCAGTTAGAGCAGACTGTGGCAAGAATACAAGATTTGGGGTACATTTACAACACGATTTTTATTGCAGTGTCTCATAACACTACTCATACCTGAGCATGCAGTGCGGTTCCAAAGCCATATAGTTCAATATATATGTACCGGAATCAGGAATACACTTCAAGTGTGTGCAGTTGAAACGAAGAATTAAATTTCGTAAGCTTTGCGAAATTTGCGATACAAGCTCTTTATTTAATCACGTATGCCATGCAATATATGTCAGACTAGATTCCAAATAATTTTTTAAGTACGTAAACTAACAAATAGGGAACATGCAGCATCGTTTCGTTAAGAAGAAGCGGTAGGCTCCTATCGCATGATATTGTCCCCATAATGATGCAGTGGTAACTGCATTCGTCTACTAAGTTAAAGCACATATGAGATGGCTTAAATTTAAAGCTAGCTGCTTTTGTCTGTTTAAATAGACAAACAGTGCTACGTAAACGGTGTTTCTTCTAGCTAACAGAGTTAACCTGTGCTTACCTTGTTGCTAGGTAACCTGGTTATAAACAGAGTTAAGCAATTGATGTAGAAATTAACTCATACCCCTAATGACATCTTTCCAATTCGTTACAAAAAAAAGTAGAAATGGGTATTGCAGACCACCTTCACTCTTTTTCACATCCTTGTATAAGGAACGAATATTAGCTGATCTTTCTGCGCCTTAAGAACTACCTCTGTTTATCAAAAAAAAAAAATACCAAATCAGACACGAATAACTACCGGTCGTTGGTATATATTTTCAGTTATATGCACACTGTCCAAAAAATTCTCGGCGTACTACGTATACAGTTTTATTTCCCGGATTAATGGCGTGCTTTTACAAAAGGTAAATCTGCTTCAGCCGTATTCATTGCCACGGAAGCAGTTTGACGCTTGGCTAAATCAATTAGTGATAAGGACTCATTTGATCATATTTACTGCATTCGGCTTCTCGGAGGCTTTCCATTAGGTTAGCCATATTTTTTTAACAAAAAACTGTATACGAAAAATACAAAAAAACAATTGTATTGGTAACATAATATATATATATATATATATATATATATATATATTATAATATATATATTAGACAGAAAGTTCTCACACTGTTGTTACTGAATAGAACATATGACATTTTTTTATTTTTGGAAGAACATTTATGTTGTTGGTGTCACGAATCTGCGGCTAGAAGAAGTAAGCTGATTAATGAAAATTAAACTGTATTCTATCAGTACAATTAGACTTTTGATTTTTGTACATCAGAAGGAAGTTGATTAATAGTTTAGGCATTCCACCTGAAAATTGCTATCAAAATCACTCATTGCAAGTCAGCTAAACGTTACATCTAAACATTAGTATTGTACTCTATGGCAGATGCAGTTACATTTTGTGAAACTTACAAAAATACGCTTTCTCATAGCCCTCTTGTTAGGGAAATAAGCGCACCCAAAAACTCGTATGATTTCCGTTTCAAAAATGACAGTGGGAGAATAGAACGCAATATTAATGTTTTCAAACTTTGTTTATTGTCTTAGGCATATCTTTTTTAATTGTGATCAATTTCGAATTAACAAAATATACAGTCTCAGCTTGCTAATAGGGCCCTTAATCGACTCATTAAAGACCTCTCTATTCTTTTTTCGATTCAACGATTCAATACTTTTTGGGTAAATGACAATAAAAGTCAAACTGTGTTTTGTTTTATATTCTCGCATGGGGATAACACTAGCCATCCCTGATTTTGCACAAAAATGGAAGGAACAAGTCTGAAAGAATATTCGAATTAAAGGAACCGTCCTTCAAATCACCAGCAGATTGGGGAAAGGAAACCCAAGAAGTAGAGAAGCGACTCATAGTTAAAAATACCCCTAAATAAACAGAAAAAACGTGTAGATATCAATATATACTAAAAATCTACTAACCCAAAATTAAACAAGTTTGCCCGGTTAATCTGAGGGTTTTTAATGACTGTTGATTTTACAATTCAAGCCGTTTATCCAGAAAGTCGCTACACTGTCACATGATAACAACGCGAAACTGGCGAGCAAGCAGCGGTAACCAACAGCTCTCTCTCAGCGCGTTAAAATACGGAAGTGAAGAGCAATGTTATGCAGTATGTAACAGTGGTTTTCGCAAGATCTTATCTTTCCAATACACGAGTTGTTGTAAGCGTTTGATGGTTCTTGAGCGTTATTAGTGCAGTCTCGGGACCAAGTGCTTCCACTTAACTTGTTTGGTTTAACAGCATCAAACATAAATGACATTGGCTCATTTATAGCTGTACAAATACCTAGGCCAATTAAGTTTCTTACGTATGGACGCACTGAACGTACACAGCAGGCACTAGCCAACATAATCATATGATTTCTTTGATTTAACCTAAAAGAAGTCCATATCTGTCTGATCTGGACGCCAGTTTTAAACCCGAACTCGTGGAGGTTCTATTACCCTGCTGCGCTACTTTCATCTCCTCATTGTAATTATTCTTCGTGTCCCATTGCGGTTTTCTTGATGTAGCTGTTTTATCACCCTTTTCCAAGTTCACTGATTATTAACGTTACCTAGTTACTTTACTGTGTTATTATATTACTCTGTTTCAGCAGCTCGATAGCATTGCTTTAGAAACTCATTTACTTTTCTTCGATTGTTTAATTACTCTAGGGACCTAACCATTTAAAAAACAACATATTCACCAATAATTAAGGAGTAGGTCTGAACCTCATTTCCATAAATAACAACAAAATGGCCTCGATATTTCAAAAACATTGCCTCTTAGGAGGAATTTAATCGCACCGGTAGATGACTAAAAGGGTTGTCAATATAGCTTAGTGCGTCACGCATATGCCTAATAACGATAGAGACGCATCGTAGTCCAAACTCGAATCCAGACACAGTTAGACTCATTTCGAGCTGGAAGCCAGCCATATGATGGAACGTCCAATAGCTATACTGGACGTAGAATTCGAAATATAGAGGTTAGATTCGTACAACAAATCAGATTCGTGCCGAAAAATTACAGTATATTGGAGACAGTGTCAGACTACAAATAGAATTATTACCCTTTTATGCATTGCATTATACTCAAAATATTTTAGTCAGGACCAAGGTGTTAAAACAAACCAGTAGAAACATTTATTGACCCAAAAATCTCTATGTTTCGTGTTTTAAGTCCAGTATCCCATCAAACAGCTGGCTCCCAGATCTAAACGAAGTCTGTCTATGGTTCAAACGTAGACCACAGCGTGTCCGTAATATTATCATGCGAATGGATTACCCGATAAGCTATCATGGGGACAGGTGAAAGAGTCAAACTCTAGCAAACTGGTAACTGGTCAAAACCGAGTGCTATTGAACTATATTTTGCACATAATGATAAACCCGGCGAAACACCCTGTCCGTCACCATTAAATGCGCACCATATACATCGAAATATAAGCATTTGAACAGAGAAAAATACTCGAGCATTATCACATTATCGTTATGAATTTGTCTGTTAAAGATTAGCCGGCGATTTAAAAAAAACGTAGTTACCTTCAATGTACACAAAATATTTTCATCAATAGCATTTATATAAACCTCATTTTAATATATTTGCTCATTTTTTCATTTTTACCACCGCATTCGTGTTACAAAATGTATACTATGTTCTTCAAATACAATTTGATCTTCGTGTAAGTGATCTTCGTGGGAATCGCCTCTCACCATATTTTGTTGTTTTGGATGCGGCATGAATTCTATGTGCAACCAATAGTATTGTAATAGTGAAGCGGTGAATGCGCTTAACAACTCGAGTCGGTATTGTGCACCATTAACTAAAGTTTAGCTGAGGTATTTTCTTATGTTATGGCAGCGATCTGTATTTTCAGCTTAATGTAACTTGTCTAGCTTAGCGATACGGAACAAATGTGCCTTTTTGGTGGATCATCCTGACGACTGTTCCAAATTTCTGGAATGTTATCCTGTAAATGATATGTAATGTTAGCCACATGATTGTACAGAATGACCATAAATATGATTTAAAAAAAAGGAAGGTACGTAAATTGCTTTTCTGTCTACACAATGAGCAATCTAATAACAAAAAAACGATGTCGAAATATTTCTAATACGGTCTATGAAATACATGTGAGCCCTGTTGGGTAGACAATACTAGAAATCGTTATTCGGAAAACTTCAATATAAGTGCTCATAAAATCTATTATTGCTCTCTAATTAAAAAAAAATCGCTCACTTTGTATATCATCGTTTGTAAGTGTAGAATGTCACACACATTTTCTAATCGCTCTCGTTGGTGTAGTTCACTTTACTTAAATAGCACCTAAAATAAGGGTGTGTTTGAGCTTTGCTTCGTGTAATGACGTGAATTAAATACTCTATCCGAATAAGGCATATACTTATTTCAACTTATTAGTTCTAGCGTAGCCATAATCACAGATTGAACAGCCAATAGGTTTTCACATTAAATTTATTAACTTCCAACCTATGCACCTTGCACAATATCAATGTAGACTCGTTATTCAATATGCGAATACACACTGGAGTTTTTCGTTATGTTTATACATAATAAGTGGTCGTTGTTTACTGATCGAAACAGAAAAGCATTATACGCTTGATACGCTAAAATAAATGAATGACACAGTGAATTACACGTATTACTTACAAGTTACTATGAACCGTGCTCAGTTTTGGGAAAGCGTCGAACATCAAAATAGAAAACGAAGTATTTCGCGAGATTTATGAGTCAAAAATATTGTAGTTATTTAACTCTGCCCTTCCGAAACCTATTTGTTATTTTTTAAGGCGTAGATTTTAATAAGAGTATAAGAGCACCTAGTTATAGTTAAAGTCGTGTTCTTAGGTTAGAATGATAACCTTGAAATAAGATATAACAAGCTTGTGCTCAGTAAAAAGAGCGCTTCAGTCGAAAAAATGGGTAACTCCTTTAATATACGGCTCGACTAGAAGGCACTCATTATTAACAGCAAGTAGTTAAATGCGAGCCGTTGTGGTCTTTGCATCGTTGCAAAATTAAGTTAACGCTTATAGCAATGGAAGACTCGAAAAATGAGGTTATTTCATATCGTTAAACGGGATTAGCGCAGTGAACTGAGTCTTGATGAGGACTGCGGCGGAGGATATTTGGTGCTCGATAATCTTAACTAACAAAATTGTACTTCATGGACATAAAGATTAGATTTAGAAGTTTCGAAGAAGGGCAGAGTTTGATATGGTGTTTGTTTACTTGCTGGATTACACACTGTTGTTATTAATACCTTCACACAACTGTCTCCGAACAAGATCAGTTTTTGATAATTAAATCGACCTTTATGGTGCCATATTTTAACTCTAGTGGTGAGTCGCAACAATTTTACTAATATGTTTGGCTTGCTTAGCGATCACTTGATTCATAGTGAGACGACTAGCGTGATCTCGTGAATGCCCTGCTAGTCTCCGTCGAATTATGTCTGCTTTGTGGTATCGTGCTAGCCGCTCGACGGCGGAAAAATCAACATCTGAATCTGATTCAGATACGTAGCGTTCAGGGATGTCAATTTTCGAAGGATAGGAAATGGAGTTTATTATTTGTTCGAAAATCTCATTGTCATGTTCGCCAGCATCACCCGATGAATTAAGAGCAGACTGAATAACATCGGGGGGTCCCAAGGCATTCAGCTCTTCAAGGTCTTCGTCGCAGCGTCGATTCCGCGTGGTAACCAAGTTTCGATAGCATTTCTTGTCACGTCGACTATCACTCCATTCTTGTGTGCGCCTTCTATTTGTCGGTGTGTCTTGTGGTAAGCAGCAAGACTGGTTGTCTTGTTCAATTTTAGTATTGGCAGGTAAACCCAATAAAGAGTGTGAAGACCACGATAGTTGGTGCTCGTCGACAGAGACAGTCTTCTGCATCCCTGCCGGGCTAACTACTAAAAAAGGTACCTTTGTCGTAGAACTTTGCGGTTCTGAGCCGTGAACGGCACTGCCTTTACACCCAAATCCAATGTTTTCATAGAAAGGCTCCGACTCCAGGAGACACGTTGCACTTTGTGTCACTTCTGGTACCTCGACTAACTGTTTTTTGAGTAGATTTTCACACGACAGTGATTGGGCTCTGGAAGTACTCGATTCAGTACTATAGAAAACGTAGGTGCCTGCTCGAACACCATTTAGTTCATCAGCCTTCTGTAACAAAGGCAATAACTTCTGAGAATGTAGTTCGGATAATTTATGTGAACCATCCAGCTTTAGCGGTTTACTTTGTTTGTTAAAATCTTTTGATGCTAGGTGAGAGATCTGAGAGGCACTTGTGGCTTGTTTCTTAATTTTGACAGGATGATGATCTAAAGCAATACTGCTCTTTGCTGACAGACTGAGGTCTGAATAGTAGTAGGGAGGCGTTTGAGCAGGAACGACGTCGGGCGCGGGGCCTTCTAACAAAGAAAGATTACGCTGGTGCTTACTATTTGTGATAGTGCGTAGTATATCTTCGGAACTCGCAGAACATATATAACTATTGGTTGATATACGGTTGCATGATCGAGACCCAAGCTCTCGCAGCTCGTCGATCAGATCCGGAATGGGTCTAGTAGTTGCAATACTGGAACCGCTACCATTTGACAGAGTAGATTTTGGACGAGAAAGCTCAGGACTTTTCTTCGACTCGAAGAACGCGAGCTTTTCCGATACGATTCCTTGATGCGATACTGCCTTTTCTAGGGTCTTGGTTGCTTGATCCGTGGAAGACAAGCGCTTATTAGGGCTTTGTATGTCATCGAATTTATCTAATTCTGTCATAATGGCCGTTCTTACAACTGAACTTTGGGAACCCCGTGAATCTCGTGACGCGCTCGACGAGACGCTTTCCGAATACAATGGTGGCTCACGGTCGTGGGCGAAGGAGGGAGATGCAGAACGAAGGACAGCCGCAGAACGAGCAACGACTTTAGATCCTTCAATTTCCTGTTTAAGTATCGCATAATTAGCTGAATCTACCTGAGCCAGAATAGGCCGAGGCTGTTCGGCAGTTTTATACTGTTCATGCCTATCGACAGAAGGGTCATGTTCAAACACTGAGTTGTGACTGCTTGATTGAAAAGAAAGGTCCAAAGTCACTGAATTTTGACTATCCATGACCATCACCGGTCTATTCATTCCACTGTTATAAAAAAGCTGGGATGCTTTAAGGAGGTCCTCACGTCCGTAACTATATGCATCTTCGGGTTTATTTGTTTCTGAAAGCGCTTTCGGATGAGCATAATTTATTTGATCATAGAGAAGCTTTCTGGAGACCAGCATTCGGGGCGATACGGGCGAATATTGTTCCCGTTGACATGACGATTGCAGCGGCGATCGCATTGTACGCAATTTCACGGGAAAACGGGTATCTTGGGACGATTCGTCTTGCTTAGCGGATATCTTATGTACTTGGTAAACGTATTCAGATCTTAAGCAAGCTTCACTATATTTTGGGGGACCAGCCCGCGGCTCAGATGTTCTGTGATGCTGATTGTGTCGCCGCAGTTGATGAGGTGGTATGTTCGTAAAATGTTGCACAGGAGAAGGAGTGTGAAAATCCGATGAATTGCTTTCGAGAGATGGTAGAGATGACTCCGGGGGGACCGTCGAGTATTGAGAGTCTGTAAGGCTTTGGAGAGACTGTAATTCTCGAGAGGACGCAGATTGAAGTGAGAAATTTCTGTGATCACCCATTATGTCGTTAACGCGTTGATTCTGTCGCGAACTAGCCAGGAATTCATCGGCGGACTTAGTGGAAAAACTAGGTTGAGGTACTTGACGGTAAACTTCGAGCTTAGAAGGCTGAATTTCTTCAGCGTTGTTGGTAGATATGTACGAAGTTGTCGACAGCGTTCTTCCACTCGGAAGTTTTTTAAGAGTATCTTGCGGGTTGTTATTTGGGGCCAGAAATCGTTTATTGTCAACGGCAAATGCATGTTGTTGTGCGTGTTCGTCAATGATATTGTGCGTAGTTGGAGTAGACAAGGTAAGAGAATCTGATTGTGGACATAGTTTAACATTAGATAGCGAGGATAAGCATGAATCATGTCCGGAATCAAACGCATCGTGCGAGCCTGAGCTTGCTCCACCCATGGTTTCTTTATTCAGGGAGATCATAGGATGTGCAAAACTCCTAGCTTCGTTTTGGGATGAGTCGTAGCAGTCCAAATGATTTTGAAAGTTAGCCATATTATGCAGACTACGTGCGCGAACTGAGCTACAAGGATCAAGCAAAGTGTCCTTATTGGTGACAGTTGGTAGTGGCAAAGCAGAAGCGGATGTTGGCGGGCTTCTAGAATGGCTTACATTGCGACCTAGAGTTGTTAAACGTAGAAGTCCTTTAGAGGCACTTGAACATGCCATTGATTCTGGGTGGCACTGTGGATGTGCGTGGAGATCATGCGAGTTTTCTATGCATATATTTGGAGAAGAAAAGTTAGAATACATACTGACTTTTTGAGCTGCAGGTAAAGCATGCGATACTTCGAAGTTGCATGGTGTATTGACAAATGGGACCGAGAAAAAAGCTGGCTCCGCTGGACTTGACTTCGGCCTTAAAGGAGCAACAGGAAGCAATGTATTGCGCGTTGTGCTTTGTCTAAACGTTGGACCATAATTGTTACTCGCTTCGTATTCTGGATCGAAGAAACGCATACTAGTATGGGGTCTTGTTTGTCGTTGAGAACAAGATGTATAAGTCTTATCTCGAAGCTCTTCTGGATAATTAAGGAAGTCGGCTGAATGTGGTCTATTAGTTAATGGCGAAACACGTTTTGGTTTGGGAGGAGCGTTTGCGTATATAGGCGAACGAGTCACACACGTTAAGGTGTTCATGTCCATATATTGTCGATTATTACAATCGTAGATAGCATGCGGCAATGACCGTGTTGCATGGTTATGTTCTTGTGCTGAGACCTGGATAGTAGCGGACTGCGCCATTGAATTTCGCCATTGGCACATGGCAGCGTTCGAGTCTGCAGCAAAATAATACGATTTGAGCGTTTCATGCTCGGCCACGAAAGCATTTTTGTGAGACACGCGATCTTGACTCATACATACTCGTACTGAATAACCAGGTAACAGAAGCGATGCCAGGAGCTTCTGCTCGTCCTCATCTCTATAGACAAACAGTGCATACTGTGTTAGAACACACCATCGTTTTTTCCAGTGTTTAAGAGGAGATCCTTCCAGTCGATAGAGCCAACCTTTTAGATTAATCTCAGCATTGACGTCTCGTTCAACAGACGGCGGGGGAGCCGCGGACGTCTTTTTACGACGAAGACTTTTACGAAATTCGAGGTTCATCATCGCTATGTTGGAGACGGCAACGACCGGTCTTATAACAACAAACTCACTTACAGTCACCTAAAAGTTACACAAAGATTACTTTCTTTCACGATTTAGTTAATAAGCAAGCGTTGTTACATGTTTCCCCGCTAATTAATCGACGTTATTTTGTCTTTGCGAGAACAGTTGGGAAATTGAGCAGTCTAGTTGTCTCTTAATAAGCGTAACGTATATCGCACAATAACACAACACTGGAATTAAGCACGTTGGACACAGATGAAATCGAGCCAATAGCTTTGATATTTATGTATATCCGTGGTTTTCTTAGTAGTCCTAACTCGTCGTCGGACAGTAGGGCACATAAAGTAAATCGAACGATGTTTCTAGGAAAAGAACACCATGTTAGTATGTATGATTGTTTTTTCGAGTAAGAAGTCGACTAGAATGATTGCTTGTCCTGCTAGCTTAATCATTGTTAGTCAATAAAGCAGGCATTATTCGTTAATTATGAGTCATAAAGTCTGCAAAATCTATTCGGGGTATCCCGAAACTGCAAATGCAACCGGAGAAGAGATGAACAAACTTGTTGATTCTCCCATCGGTTGCAGTTGTTTGACAATCTGCCCTGTACACCGATTGTGCTCAAGGGGCACCGACGATGATGCCAGGTTAAGCCGGTTTAGTTGCCGAATACAGCGCCACCTATGGTCCAATTGTACAACTAGCTGACGCTTCATTCTGGGAAGCGGTATATCAGCTTTAAAAAAGAGTCAAGCGCTTAACCCTGTCTATTTAAGTCGCCGTAACGACCCTGGAAAGAATTCTAATTTCGTTAATGAGTACAAACGCAATATTAGCAGCAAAATGAATTGTTTTTTCAGGTCTATGCATGTACTTTCTAGGTTAATAATATTACACAAAACACTAATCAATCAAAATAAATCAAATAAACAATAAATAATTATTGAAAGCAAAATGCCATAAATATAAGCATTATTTCTTTAGTCGTAAATAATTTGTAGGTAAATTTCGCTATACGTTACTGCTAATTGCTTTTTTTTTGCATTTCAAGTCGACTATTTGCTTGCCTCCGCTGCACACTCGTCAAAGCCCTTTAGTAATGCATCTTGCTTTCCGCTACATTCTACATTCCTCGACTCCAGTCACAGACAAAATCAACAGCATCACTAGGTACACCCAGCCACTGTGACTCCTTGTTTGGACCATTCGCTCTTGGCAGTGGCTAGACGAATCGACAGAAAAAAAAGAAGCTTTAACCTGGTCGGGTGCCTTTCGAGCAGCTCTTGACCGGCTTACTTCTCGGCCACTTCTTTCTGCTCCTGGCTCTTTTAAGCATAAGCGGCGCCACTGACAGTTGACTATCGACTGCAGAGATTTCAGTCCTTTTTGGTATCGCCAGTAACCAAGAGCATTCGTACATCACGGAGGCTCCAAAGCGAAAGCTTCGAGTAACATGTATACCTGCTCCTAACTACAGTATTACGACACTGGCGGATGGCTCTCGTTTAGTTGAGTATTAGCAAGTTAGGAAGATATGAGCCTACGTTACTATGTATATAAATAAAATGATCAGCGCTAATACGATTTAAAGCCGCTGCCATGCGTACAAAAGCAATTTACCTCAGTAAAGTTATCTTAAACGCTAGACAAGATCATGATTAGTTAGCATAGTCAACTCGTGGCAAAAACGAATCATGGCAAATAACAATCAGATTACTAAATCGGAAAAGAAAAAGCCAAAAACAACAGAAAAGATAAAGATGATTTGTGAATGGTTTACCACGTGTAGCAAGCGAAAAGACCAATCCTTGTAGGAAGCAAAGCTGTTCGTTAATACGAAAGAGAGGATTCATCTTCTCTGACTTGCTTTCTAGTGATTTGTAAACTCTAGGTACGTATGAAAAGATGACTGATATTGTTTTACTATTACAATCAATTTGCTTTATTAATATAATCTATTTACTACTAAACAACAATTATTGCTACCTTTTTAGTCATGTTTTCAGAGACATGTTGTTCTAAAAAACATTGTGCGCGAAGATACACTTTCAATGTAATTGAGTATTATAAATTAATTACCGTGCTTTTGCGTATAGCAAAATAAAAAAAACTTTTGTATTAACTAATGTTTTGGGAATAACGGTACCGCTTCTTAAATTATTCATCGGTAACAAAATTAGCAAGAAGATTTTTTAAGATATCTATCTATTGAATGTAGTTGGGTGCCATGTCAGAAGTGTTTGACATGAGCTTATCATAGTTAATACGAATTATTGGTTCTTTACATGTCCCAAGTTTTATCACGTGTATGTTTGGAAAATTCGTTAAATATGATAGTTTCGTTATACATGAGATAACATAGTCAGTAATAGGTTTTTACATCAGAAGTTTTGCGTATTCTGCTTTGCCTTATACCTATAAGGAACCTAAGCTATTCTTATTGGCCCTTCTATTGAACGCGCTCCTTAGTGAGTTTTTAACTACCTTTGTTCGAGCAGGCGTACTTTCAGTTAGATTTGACGCGCCTCAAAATGCTTATGGCAATTTTTCAAAGAAGTGGTAGTTCCAAATTACACAAATTTCAACCCAATTTTTCTAAAGAGATCTCTCCGGTGTCAGTTCCTCCGACGCAGCCTCTTTTCACTCAGATTTTAGATTTCCAAAGGGATCCTAATGTTAAAACACTCCTGAGCCTGCTGAAATTCACGCTAAGCTATTCTATCATTCATTTCATTCCGGGATGCCGACACGCGACGACATACGGTAAAAATGAAACTAAGGCAAGCAAATAACACTTCAAGGTAGGTTAGATGGTCCTAAGAATTAATCGCAGGTATTAACATTTCTAAGAAGTTGTCTTAATGGTTGAGTTGTTGCAGACTTTGATAAATTTCGCTATTTTCTTTAGCGATCTGTTCCTGATTGACCTCAAGACAGACTGCGAGGCTCTGAAAGGAATCTTCTGTTTCATCTACGAATAGTCTTAACTTTTCTTTGTGAAACAAAACTCTTTCTATTTATATAAAGGCATATCTTCTCCAATCACGTTGATCCGCGCCCATGTCCTTTAAATTATTTATGGAGAACTTTGTACGGTCTTTTCTAAACCAGCGTGTTGTTGATTTTTGCTCTGTTGCACACTTGACGACGACCTTGCACGGTGTATAGAATGTAAATAGTTACAAAGTGACCTGTGCATGTAGGTACCTTAAAAGTCGGCCTCTGCGTTTGAACATGGAAAAACATTACAAGACTTAATTTTTTAATTGAAAGTATAAATGTTGTGAGGTGCCTAGCGGGGGACTTAGTTCAGATTATTTGTACGTAAAAGAGAAAAAGCACTGCGTATTTACTGCTAGAATCAGAGCACACACGGCGGTTAGAGCACACGGCTTTCAATTCGGCTTTCCACACATCAGCAGATGATCCTAACATATCTACCGAATGTTCCCTTTCCTGTGATTGTGCTGCTACGCCTTTTAAAGGCAGTTAGCGATCGTCGCATAAACTAGTAGTAAAACTAGATTCTCAAAATCGATCGTTGTAAAATTAGGCCATCTGTATATCTAGCGGGTTGCATAGTGCAAATAATTATATTTTAAATAATTATTAACTCCACAGCATTAGCAAACGAAGTTTGGCAATTATTTCTTCAAGTATTTAGCCATCTATGACCAGTTGCTGATTAAGTGTCACCAGATAGTAATGAGTTTAGAATCAAATATATTTAATATTGAAAAAAATCGTGAATTTTCACTGAAAATGGGAGCGCGGTAGGAATCCAACAAAGATCAGTGAAAGTAAAAAAAAACTTGACAGTGAAACAACAGCTTGTTAGTAGGGCAATCATTATAAGAACGGAAATCGGAAGGCTTCAGCCTTCCGATTTCCGTTCTTATACAAAAGAGGTGCATGCATCATAAGATTCCAGACAAGAGAAGAGGTTGTTGCCAGGCTTTCAGGCAGAACAGCATGATAATACGCTTGCTGTCGTTTCAATATGAAATTCCTTGAAACTGAAACGGGAACACTGAAAATAAAGAAGAAAAGCAAAATGAAGCAAAAGAAGAAGTTGTTTTTCTACGAATAGAGTCCAGGACAGATTGCAAAATTGACGATATACACTAGAGACAATTACTACCCTTAAAGCTTAAAGCACACATTTACCGTAGACGAGATATGGATCAATCTGTGCTGCCTGCTAGAGATCACTCAGAAAAAATATGTTTAACAGGTGAGAAAGCAGGTTTTAATAGCAGCATTGAATACATTTCGATTCATACTTGCATAGATATTAGGAGCAGTTCTTATACAAAATAGTACTCGAAAGGGAAGCGATCAGTGCTGTCAACTATCTCGACTTTCCGAAGATCGCAGTATGGTTATTTGATGATAATGTACAGTTTCAATGATAATCTGCACCAATGAAAACAGATTCCAACAATTGGTTAAACAATCGTACCGCCCAGTTTAAGGTCCGTATAATTTCGATTGCTTCCATTCTGTAAAAAAGAGCGATAAGTAACGCAACGCTATCGTCGATTTTCTTTGACATGCCATTACTGATATGATTCGGTATGCTAAGACAACTGTGTATAGCTGTTGAAGCTCTTAGAGTGCTGAACTTAAACCGTTAACAAAAGAAAGTATTGTTATTTTATGACTTAAGAATTATTAAGCCGAGTAAATGGCTTCGAGTATTCTAATATAAGTCTTAATATCTTTAGACCAGATTCGCGATCATAATCATCGATTGTTAGCAGACGTAAATGGAGTAATAAAATATAATTCTAATTTTTAATGCTGCGGCAGGAGCTGCTATAGTTAGGATTGATTGAAAGGTTGAAATAGACAAGAAAATGAGAGGTTCTCGAAGTGCTGATGATTATAAACGTTTAAATGAAATGGTGTCTTCTTTTCACTTGTTGTATAGATTCCACCAAATAAAGCCTTAGGATATAAGGCACTAGCTCTTGTGTCTCACGGTACGCTAGGGAATGCTAAGGACTCCACGAAGCTTATAACTTTGCTATCGTATAACTGATCTGTAGAGGAGAGGCTCCAGCCACCGGCAGGTCCAGTATCGACTCAATGCTACATATGACGACCTGCTCTTATGTTTCGTTGTTCGAGCTCAGCTTGCTCCTAGTTACTCCGTAAAGTAATCACGTCTCGAATTTTTCTAGATTTTTGTTATTTGAGTCGTCTATTTTCTTATGATTGCCGCTTGTCAGCATAAAATCAAAGCAGTTGACCTTTTAATTTATAATGCACGTTTGAAAACACACGGATTCTAGAAGACTGATCTCATCCCAAGAGTTGTGCTATTTCTGAACAGACTGTAAACCCTGCAGTTGCAGCCAAAACACGAGTGCGGACACATACGTAACACATGTTACTGATCAACGTTATAAATATCGCTTCTGAGCCTGGTGTCATACCGTAAAGTTGTTCTCATTCCGATTTAACTATCTAACCACGGCACTTGGGTACCGGTCGGAGTGCTAGGATATCATTTGCCAAACGACACTCCGTACCGCAGCCTCGAACAAGGCATTCTATTTAATCGGAGGGTACCATAATTATCCCAGATTTTTCGGAGTGTTGATTGTGAGATACATCAAATGAAGCATGAACCTGTGAACATCAGTTTCTCAAGCAGTTACTATTAAGACAAACATGTATTAGTAATGTCATATAACTGGCTTGTGTGACCAGTTACTCTTCAATCAAATATATGAAAATAAAAATTAAAATTATTAGCATAATCCCTATTTACGCATATCAGCTTAAGAGATCCGACAATGCAATTTTGCTCGATGTTTTTTTCTTATATGAATCAAACTCTCACTCTATATTAAGGAAGAAATTGGAGAGGTTTCCGGAAAACGAACGTTGAGCGAAATGACAAAATTAGCTATCAAAAGGACACAAAGTAATTTTTTTTGACATGCTCTCCTATTGCAATAAATGAAATATTTGCTTCGAAATAAACGGGCTACGCGTTTCGCTGTTAGTTTCATAGCTTGGGATTCGATATATGATAAATATCTGCACAAACTAATTGCAAGGGAAATGTGAGCCGGAAACCCTAAAGATACCAACGAAGTGGCTGCATCGATTTCAAATACAAGAGCACTCCATATGTCCCAAACGATTCTGCAGACTATCTCTGTGAAACGAGAAAAGCATTAGGAGAAACCTGAGAAGCGTCTATAGTCTAATTGGGATTTACAATCTATAGCAAATGTTACAATATATATGTGATAATTGTAAAAGTGAAGGTTACTATTATCGATAACAGTTGAAAAAAGTTAAATATGGACCTTTTTTAGTCATATAATTCTTCACTAAATGTGGTCGTGTAAAGAGCTTGTCAACAGACGCGCTTGTCAAGAATTTTAACTAAACACCTAACCAGATTTATTGATTTAAATTTAACGTCCATAACTGACGTCCGGTATAGTACAAGTGCATTTGATAAGACGACATTCACCATTGCGAGGACTACTGCTCTTACTAGCGCTGTGGTACAGAGCTTCTATTTGTATTTCATTGTTATTGCTTGCAGGCAGCTAGCATTCGCCTCACCTTCTTATACAAGTTATACCGTTCGAGCGTGCACTTTCGCTTTCCGAGCTTACGCCTTACTCACTTTCGGAGAGTCGGGCAGCAGTAGATTTGCGACTTGCAGACGAATTCCGTGCTAATTCTGCTCATTGCCTCACGATTTCGCCTCATGCAACAAAACACATTTTACAAAGGTACCGGGATTCAAACGTACTGCTTTCGCAGCATTTGCCCATCATACTGGCCTTTTTAACGCCTCATTCATCACCGAAAGATTAGATTCTATTTTAAAATAGCCCTCATTAGTTGGCATGCAGTATGCAGAGTGGTGAACACTTCAATTGGATATAATAGCTGTGCCAAATTTAATCGCATTAAGGTATTAAATCCGCAGCATAACTCGGCTCACTTTAGTGCCCCGCAAGAACTCTTGAGGATCACGATCACACACAGGACCACACGAGAGTGTAGCCTTGATACAAAATACTACATGCCATGCTACTTGTTCGTCAGTTTAACTATCCAATTCGTTGCATCAGTGAGATAATGGACCTCCGATACCTTTGTTCCTCTGGCGAACGGTCGTGTAATACTTGTTGTTGCCGCAAAATCGCAAATGTAATTTTTTACGTCAGGTAAAATCAGCCTTTTTCTGATACATCTCCGTGGCCTGCTGAAACAGCTATATTATTTATATGTTCTATGCATACAATATGACACGGTGCAATAGAACAAACTGTTCTGCTTGTCCATATGCATTCCAAAGGTTCTATATGCATAAATTGATTTCGGAGATGTATTTTTTGTCGATTATAGAGGGATTTATCAATATTTATTGTATCAAATATTCATACAGATGTACGAAGACAATGAAGTCATAACCAATAAAACAGTGAAATAAGTATATTAACAAACGAGACAAATTTTATTAGTTTGGTAATATGATAAAATCGAGATAAGTTAGTACAAATATTAAAGAAAAGCGTAATTAACGACAGGAGGAATTCCCTTCGCAATCATAAATATCTCTTTCTTGTTGCGTGCTTTTATTTTTTTTCACAGCTTACCTTATTTCATTGTCACCTTGTAAATTAAGATAACTACGTCATTCGAGGCATTCACATTCTATGTCAAAAGACTACGATTAAATTCAATTTAAACTCTTTATATAGGTCATTCAATAACGACGAGTGCAGGATCTTTGCTCTGCTTTCGCTGCGCACTGCAATTCTGTTTTTAGCATGCCTGTGCACAATGTAAAAGTACACAATCTTCTGTTTACACAAATGCGATTACATGAAGATTCTTGATTAAAACCGCAGTACACAACAACAGGTCATTTTACCTGCGTAGAATTGAGAATTTGCTTATTTGAGTTCTGTGAATATGCAACTATTTCGAAAATAATTTATTTGCACTGTCTCACACTGATCAGCTTAGAGTGATAATTGGGAGATCTTTATTTCTAACTGTAATATCCGCTTATATGGAAGAATCTGAATAAATTACAAAGGGAGCACTGACATAAGCGCTGGAGTTTCTGCTCGAATACCGCAAACGCCTACAGGTTATCATATAAGCATTTCGTATGCTCAGATAGAAAGCAAGAAACGAATGAAACTGTGAAAATAATACTCAATAATAAAAACCCGATTTGTAGTAAAGTACCACTATCGATTTCAGATTTTTTCAGATCCAAGTATTTTTTAACAATTCGACGAGTACTTCGCTAATAATCTAATTATCATTTCCCGTGAAAAAAAAATTTTAAAAAAAAGCAAATTCTTTGCGTCCTGCAAAACTGAATTTTATTGATTACTATTTGAGTAGCAAATACAATATCTTAATACGTATATAATTAATGTTGTCTGTTGTTTTGTGCTTGAATCAATAGCGGAGAGGCCTCATGATCTAATCTGTTTTTCGCGAGCCGCTCGTACTTGGCCCATCGCTTGGGCTTTTTCCCATCGAACTCGACCAGAAGCGGCTCTCAATCGGGCTGCCGCTCAAACACTTTTTTAGCGATTGCATTTTGCCATATCGCCAGCCACCTTACATGTGTCACCAACATGAAGCGGATTGGTCTAGATTTATTGTTGACTGGCTGGAACGAACCCTTCTTTATTTAACCGTATTTAACCGTAGCCGTCAATTTAGTTATATATTTAACAGAATATTTGATATATTACAGCATAGAAGTCGTTCAGCATAAAATACAAAACCTATATTTTAAAATGACACTATGTTTTAACAGGTTGACATGTCTTGCTCTCGAAACGTACTTCTGAGGACTTTAAAGCTATTTTAAAGACTGTAAGAAGCAACTCAAGGAGGCATATTTTTTATCGAGTTCTTGATTGATACTAGTCAGACATTTTGAACGTCGTGTATTATAACAGCAGAAACTTCAATTTCTGTGCTTTGAAACTGTAATTGTAATAAACACACAACCCGCAAAACAACACTACTTTGTTCTCCAGATACAATGGTGGAATTCATTCTCCACAGTCAATTAACTATCATCCATGCATCGGTATTTAATATTTAAAACCAACCTAAGCCGCTTTGTATCTTGTGTTTCCATAACTGTATAGGTAACATTGAATTTCTAGCCTGAACCGCCGGGTCAAACACATTAAAGTTTGCTTTTTGGAGCTTCTTTAGGAACTCTTTAAGAGGAACAGAAGGCAGGAAAATATCACCGATTTCTTTGGGAAGCTTTGTTAGCCCTTGCTCAGTCTTTTCAAGATGTATATGAGCAGTTGACGCAATTTCGAAAACAACCTGTGAAAAGAGGCCGCATTGTTAACTGTGAAATGTAATATTCCACTTGTTTAACACGATATATCTATATGATTCATTTTTGTTACAATTCTATATAATGAACGCAGTGTAGCAGTCAAATTATACGCTCTATTATGTACAGCTACCAGCAGATACGAACATGCTTTCATCTGGTACTCCTGGTACCTGACGAAGGCTACGGCAAACAACAGTGCGTCGTTCGGAATTCGAGAAAAGATTAATTGTACAACAATAAACATGACTATCAAGAAAACTTTTATAGCATATGTAAAAAAATTCGTTGAAATATCCCTATTTAAATACAGTCTCACAATAGCAGTTTCAGTTGAACATATTTTATTGCGTGAGAGTGGGCGTCACTTTGAATCAAAACGTTTATGTTAGATATTTTATGTTTCGTTTTGTAAAAAAAGGTTCAGCTGGTGCTGCCGGGATTGCCACAGGTAGGCGGCCTCCGGAACAAAACGAAGTGTGTTTACACCCTATTTTGAAAGTAAATTGCTTTGTGTATCTTCTAAGTTTAACCGTCACAAACGATACCACTGTGCCATCCCAGAAATTAGTTTAAAACACCTGAGTAATGGATGAATAATTAATTCCGAATGTTGGTCCCAAGACTCCCCTAAAAACAAAGGCTGGACGTTTTCCCTTTTAATTTCACAAAGAGTCATTGAAGTTATTTAAAGTAAACTGTACCAGAAAGCTAATCCTGGATAAATGGTAGCGCCTTAGAGGGGTATTTAGACTATGCGATTAGTATAATATATATTTTTTCGTACCCCATCGAACGATTTGTCGCTTCGCGTTGTTCTGATATGCATACGTTGGCTTGCCTTTTTTCCCCCAGAAGACTTCTTCAGTGCAACTTCTTATATCCTTACAAGCATATCTAAGGACAGTTGTGCAATGATGCCGACAGGATTTTCCGGCAAAAATATATATATATTAGACGCAAAAATTTCTTAGAATTTCAACAAGTTCACAATATAGATTGTGGTGCACCGCTATATATATATAGATTGTGGGTAACCGCTACACTAGTAACGGTATAAATGCGATTTATTCGCTTTACATCGTATTTTTAGCCATTTTGACGGAAATATTTACGACTAAATGTTTCATGTTACGTTCGGTAATCCTGCATTGCTTTAGACAACTAGTCCAGTACCAAACAAAATTAGTTATACCCGGATTTGAACCTACACTATCACATCTCGGTAGGTCGTTGAGCAGACACGTTACCACTCCATTATCACAAAGGCAGAGTCACAGGATTAATATGCTATCAGTATACGCCATAACACTTGGCCACGCTATCCAGATATGCACTTCATCATACAATCTGGTGACCGATTTTGAAAGTCTGCTCTGTGTGGTTAGACCAATATCTCCCCTTGGCTGCTGAAACCATGCCCGATGATGCTTGAGAATATGCACTCTCTCTATAACGGATCGTCTCTCTAATAATAATCTCTCTTGAAAAAGAGCACACAACCACTATTTTCCTGATCTACGAATATATGCCAAGGCTTCCATGTAATTATTTTTCTACAAATTGTACATTTTTTTCAAACAACTGCATGTCTGTTTTCGCGGAGCAACAGGATATTGTCGCGGCTTTAACCTGGGTTCGCGCGATTCACAGCAGTGCTGTGTCTCTTTTGCTTCGATGCGGGAGCCCGTTTATAAGCACGTACTGAGAAACACTTGCTAACGATGATCCCGTTTAGACGAAAATCCACGTGTTCTTTCGACATGCTGCTTCAAGACCTTTCAACTCTATGGCGAGTGCCGTTAGGAGATCGGCATCCGAAATAGGCCTTTTGTATTGTCCTACGAAAAGATAACTCTGCATACCGCAGCGATCATAAACATTTAACCCACCGTCCACATTTGTGGCTGAGCCCGCCGGCGAGTTGGCTATACAACGGTCTTCCCGGTAATCGCGTGTAAGTTTCGCCACGATTGTCGATAGGCAGCAACGCTACGGTAAGGTAGAAGTCATAAATTATTCCTTCTAGAAACGCATTTAACTTAAATGGCAGCGTAACGGGCTCCAGTACAAATCGGTTATCCTGAGCAAACGCGTACAGTACTTCCCCAACGTAATATTTTGTTAGGTGGAGTGATGGTTCCTATTGAAACCGGAATATATAAGTCTTGAATCCCTACTGGGTACCCGCATGGCCAACAACAGATTCGAACCAGTATTCGGCTGGGCCTGGCATAAGTCTATGGCAATTCCGAGCAAGCGCTTGTACGACCGCCCGTAGACACTCGAGTATCCATTTCTTCCTTTCTCTCTATTCAGCGCTATACCACTGTTTGGCAGACCACTTTGTTCATCCTCAAGTAAATTAGACTCATTTCAGACGATTCGCTCATTTCTTTCTCTCATTTGTCACCAACTGCTAGGACGACGTACTAGTACTGACACAAAATGCGACTGATCGCCCTATCCGTCGTCATCATATAGTAACAGTGGCGGTGATATTTAATACATAGTATTAAATATATATCCAAAATATTTTATAACGATGCGGCATTATATGACATTTTGTTTGTGAGACGCAGTTGTATTCCCAGAACCCACTTGCATATCGTGACTTGGGCTTTTAATAGGCAAGCTGTAGTGATCCATGTAATACAAATTCAAGTGGTCTGCGAATATAAGGGTATTTATAATGAAATTACTATTGCGAAGATAATTACCATACACATTTCGTATTGGTAAAACTTCTACTACTGGAAGCGCTACGAGCTGTTGGCCGAAAATGAGTCTTCTGAAAGGCACTCCGCGCAGGCTCATAATAAAGTGATAAGAGCAGTCAGTGGCTGAAGTTCACCCCTCAAACCGCACGGGTGTCATAACTGTTCGTTTTATGTAAAAAAATGATGCTTGTTCATCTTTGCTAAATTAATAAAATAAACAAATTAGACCAATAGGTAGTATATGACTTGAGCAAGGATCAAATACGAAGGCAAAAAATGCTTGCTTCTCTTGGCTTTCATGTTACAACGGTGACCAATTCTTGCATCGAATTGTGATGTAAAACGGATCTTCTGCGACGATCACAGACGACAACATCAATGATTGGCTGTAACTGAACATTACGCGACATCATTCTTTAGCGAATGTACAACCAGAGAACCTCACTGCGGCTGTCTGGTAGTCTTAAATACCTGGTATGATATATATATGTATACTCGAGTAAATTAGTCACTTAGCTAAAACAGTTCGCTTTTCCTTCGAAAAAAAGCCTTAGTGTGTAAACCGTTATACAGTACGGCTTCTTTAATCCCGAGCCGTTGACTGCAGCAGAAATGTATTGTCAATAATTAGAAAAAAATGATTAACGTAGGTAAACCATTTATTGCCTACAACGCTCGTCGTACGGTACATTTTTATGTGTGACATTACACAGTTGAAGGCTCTACCATCGTCTGTACCTCAGACACTGGTACCACAGAATTTTTCGTTATCCTGACACTTAGTAGGAGACTTGTTTAGATCTCAATATGGCGTCGAAAGTTCCTCTTGAGATTTTATCAACTGCCGTACCCTAGAGTTAAGTTAATTAAAATGCCATCCCGCATTTTATCCTAAATGACTTGTTATATATATATAATGGTAGTGACGTACATTTTCTTAGCATCCCCTCAGGCTGCTCCAGGGCAGAGCAGGATTGCCTTCAGGGCTAGCAACAACGCACTAGCATTCGTGGTAACGTGGAAAACAGGCAATAGTAAAAGTGTCAATATTGTAAAGAGATACCTCTGGAAGACTGGTTTGTGGAGTCCTGAAGGCTTCTTCTTGAGTCACTGAATGTTTTGCCAAAAGGTTTAATGGCAGCTGGCATCGACCCTTTGATGCATTGAATGGAATGCTTCTGTAATACAGAAAAATATATCCTTGTTCTAGATACTATATAAATAATAATTATTTCGAAAGGAAGTCAGAATATAGAAAAATAACACCAGTATCAAGAAAGCTTTAAATATATAGTTTTACCATTGTTTTCAAGCCAGTACATTATAAAATACCACAGAAAGTTCCCCGTTTTTTGATGTATGACAACTACTTAGAAGTTTACCGGTTCTCGTACAACAATGGTAACCTCTTTCCATCAATACACATCATCGCCATCAATGAGAACAAAGAATTCATCTTGGTACTCGAAAGAAGAAGATATGGAGTTTTTGACCTGGTCTTCTGTGGTAAAGGCTTCGCAGTCACGATCATTTTTAAGATCCAATTGTTCTGATATGGCAATAACAATGGCGACCTCACCGCATTGGTATTCACTGTCGGCAGTTAGTACTAGGCCTTCACAAGATAGGAAAAATGTTAATGATAAACTTGGATCGACACAGTTATGGCGTAAAACAATGGTTTTTTTAAAAGTTGTGCTTCAACGCCTGTATAAGAGAAGCCAGTGCATAGACACCCTAAGCTTTTGCAGCTGTATAGTCCTTAATGATGTAACGCCGGTTCAGCTGCATTTATCAATTTATATGACCGCATGCGCTTGTCCTAGAAATATTTTTCGTTACAAGTCACAATTCAGCAAAAATCAATCACTGTCGCAGCATGAGACTAAAAAGGAGTAGACCTCTAAGTGTGTTATCTCTCCTCATCATCTAGCACTCATTTGTCCAACTTTTTACTTAATTTAATGTGCTAATACACTAAATGCGCTAACGTCCATACACTTTGAGATGGCTAGACTTTTATTATAGCTCTCAACCTTTGCAGAAGCTCTTCTCAATATAAGCCACCTATTGAAGGCTCAAGTGAGGGTATCCAAGTAAAGGATCTTAGATTTCAACAAGTGTAAGTGCATGACAAGCTTTTCCTGGAAGTGCCACGAAATAACGTATCGTTCTACAGTAACGTCGTGTAAAAATATTATATTCATATCACGTTTGTTACTTTTTATAACGAATAACTTGAACTAATTTTCACGTACAGATGACATACCCATATGTCTACCCCTTTTACTCACTAACATAAGTGGGCCATATACCGCAACCATCTGGTGTACTTACTTTACGTTTTATCAATTTTATTTTTTAATTACATCGTTTTTTTTTTTGAAAAATGATTGAGATGCTTCCAATGTACTGAGCCGATCCCACTTTTGTTTAATGTATGCCAATTTCTAATCAACCGAATGCTGTCAGTTAATCTTTCACTATACGCCGCAATATGATTTTGGGGCTGTTGACCTTTCATGACACCACGCTATTATTTTCGATTAGGTATACTACCTTCAAACATATATGTAAAAAATATGTAGGTCACATAAATCTATATAAAAACCAAGCCAGAGATTCAAGCCGTGCTCCAATTCGCTTGCATTAATATGGCAAATCCGACGGCCCTCTCAGTAAAAACTGCATCATAATGTACTTGATCCTAGCAATTTTAGGTATAATGAGCGCTCCGTCCCAAGGAAATATATAGGTTAAAATTATTGCCCAATTCCTTCTATTTTAGATTGTTTTCAATTGGCGTATTTCTAGCAAAACGGCTGCTACGCGCGTTTGAATAAAGTAACATACTTATAATATAAAGTAATATGAGCGTCATATATGTTGTAAACTCATGTGAATAAGCACACTAGAGTTAATACCGTTTTGTATTTAAGACGACGGTTTGGCATTGTAGGTGGTAAATTACAATGCTCACTTGGCCCACGAAAGCCCCCGAGATTAACAAACTGGTGAGACCGTGTACGTAGTATTTTAAGCTGAAAGTTTACTCGTCCTCCATACTTTCCTTCGCTTGCCTTCACAGGCTGCCCCTGTCAGGTAACAACTGGATGTAATATATCTCCCTTCCATCACGTTTGATAAACCATTCATATACGAAAGCTTCAGCATCGCAAGTTCAACAATCAAGACTTTCATAAGAATGCCTTATCATACCATCAATGAACAAAAAAGCGTCTACAGAGGGTTTTAAGAAAGCTGGTTGTACTTAGTAGCGCTTACTATTCTGTAGCAGGTAAATATCGTACGTTGCTGCTTTCAGTTAAAACAATGTGAGAAGGCTATGGTTCAATAATGATATTGTTGCAGTTAATATTTTTCGTACCCCTTTCTTGACATGCAAACATATAGCTTTAGCTGTTGGAATTTCCCTAAAACTTGCGCCAGTAAATTTGTCCATTATTTTTTATTCTCCATTCAATCTAAGGAAAACATTCTTTACAAGTGCGCGTCCGTGCCTGAATTTCTACTACCTTTCTTTTCTGTTATTGTTATATTCTGTTATTAAGGTTTCCTCACAACACGCTGGCAAGGAAGCCACTGCCAACTGGAAACCAATCTGCTATTACTACTGAATATAAGATTATATCCAAAAAGGGAAAATACAAAACAACGCATTCGTTCACTATCAAACAAATAGCAGAACGCAAACATAAGAGGTTAGCAAGTCCGAGTTGAACGCAATACAACGATAAGAGAGAATCTTTTTATACCAGTGCCCATTCAGTGTCCAGAATGACCATACACCTTTACATCCGAAATCTATATTGATCAATAAAAACTTCATTTTCATTATCGACAAATGAACTCAGCCTAAGGATAAAACAATTATATAGTTCTCTCCATGCAGAAAGTTCTGTTAGGACTTCATTTTCCTTAAGCGTAAGTACCATAATATGCTTCTCATATTTTCTCGTTCCAAAGATTCATCCCAAAACGCGTGGTCTATTATCATGTCAATGCTACCCTCTGCTGTAGATGTTTGTTATTTTGATTCTGTCATTGCCGTAGATGCTTCATTACTGATAATATCGATCTTTGCAGACGATTTATTCCGAGAATATCCCGATATGGCTTCCCATCATGCTTCGTTCGTAACTCCTCCTACGAATATACGATTCGTCAATGTATTTTCTGAGAAGTATAACATGTTCCAGAAATTGAAAGTTTGAAAGTGATCGTATTTACCTATCTAGCAGCCATGACCCAGTTCTTCTCAAATCATTCAGAATTACATATATTGTTTTTGCTTTGTCTTATTTTTACGGCGTTAATGCAACTTTATATGTTCGCTTAGTATTACGTGCAACGGCCTATCTCCGATCATTACCAAGCTAATTTTGCCTGAACAGCGTTCTCTTTGAAGTATTCAGCAGTCCACCACGGTGTTCCACCATGTTGATTAATATGCTTGGCGCTTTCCGTACGTGCATTATAATTTTCAATATCCGCTTATTTTGGACACTGGTTATAGATTGAAAATTTTGTAAACCCTAGTCTATGCTTCTTGTGGGTTGAGCACATAGGAAGAATGATATTCAACCAAATGGCAATGTGAGCTGCCGGTTATGTTGCTCGTTTGAGCTGATGTTCTTCCCTTAGAAATCAGAAAGAGCTTTTAGTCTTTCGTCATAAGTTTCAAAATGTAAGTTCACAATGGTGCCTTATCGAAGTCAGAGACCGGTTAACTAGAAAGCAAAAAATAAGGCTTTCATTCTTTTTTCAACATTTTACTCCTTAGTCTCCGCTTCTTTATATATTCAGATATTCAGCTGCTCGTAAGTATGCCTTGCTGGTCCAGGCTTTGCAGAAGTGGCAAGCACACGCCATTGCAACTGCCTCTCAAAATTGCACAGTTATTTTCTACTATACACTTTTATACCCTGATAGTTATTGAAAAATACAGATATCACCTTAGTAGACCTGTCAAAGATTTTACTAAATTATAATATACAGCGGTACAGTTGGTTTTAAGCGCTTATTGCGACTGCAAAAGCATGTGGAAATCTGAAGTTCAGAGGCAGTATTATCTTACTTAAGTTTTACATACCGAATAAGATTAGCAAGGCCTTGGGCTTTTCCAAGATGACTTGCTGTGTGATCACAGTCTACTCTTTTAATTTCGCGTGCCTCCAGCAAAAGGTAGTAGATAGGAGAACAGCTAAGTTCCGCGTATTGCTCAGCAGCATCAAGAGTGGCAAATGCATTATCCTTCATGTTCGCTTCTCGGCTGTCAATTAATCTGTAATCATTCTCCACATTACAGAAATGAAAGAATATTGAGAGATATTTCAATGAATCAAGCAAAACTATGTAAAATAAACAATTTTACGATAAATATAGTTGTACTGCCTACTCGATTCGTTCTAGGATACATTTACAATAATTATGCGATTATTACGCCGAATTAGCTTAGTAAACTCACCTCACCGATATTTTACATTGGCCGATTATAACTAAAGGTAACAGTATATGAACATAATATGAGCATAATCTTGGCGGTGCGCCAAACAATTTCCTTTGCTTATTAACAGGCAGGGAAACAAAGCGTCAGAAAAAATCTCGCAGTGATGTTGTTCTCGATGTCAAGAGCCGCGTGATCGTCCGAAATAGGAACACAGATTCTGTTTAATGTCAGGTAACATGCTCACTACTAAATTGTTTTCACGGTACAGTTAGGTGAGTGTCGATGTACGTTGATCTGTTCAGTCAAGTAGTACACGAACGTTAAGGGAGACAAAGTATTCCGTAGCAATAGCATGTAAATATTCTATAATCTGCAAGCAAGATTACAGGCACAATTAAAGTCGAACCGTCTTGTCCCGAGGCTGAACGCATCTGTGATTAGATTAGGCGGAAAGTGTTGCTGTCGAGCTTGAATAAATGGTAATTTCATGCAATCGTCCCAGAAATCATCCGAAGTCTAATCGTTGACGGAGGGGTTGTCTTCTAAGAGTCATTGTAAACTTTCTCTACAATACAATGCTCAATGACAACAGGGGTATATGGAGAAAAGTTTCCACTCTGAGAAATTGACACAGGCTTAACGGTGCCTATTAAAAGTATCTCAATCGAGGTTTCAGTGTGGTCAAAGAAAGTTGGAACAAACCTTAGATTTACTAACCGGCAATCGAAATACTACAGAATATCCTTGTGAGGTTCGAAGGGGGTAGATTACGTCGAGCATTCATGCCGTTGGTTATAATGAGCGGAAACGATTTATATAGCTCGCATGGTTTTGCAGAGGTTATATATCAACGTCAGCCTCGCTAATCATTTTGGTTAAACGTATGTATGTTGCTAGGATTTGGCAATACTGTCGCTTTCACCAACACTGCTACACATGATCATGGCATTCTGAAGTCGAGCATGTTATTTCAATATACAACGGTGTGCTTGAAGGTTGCAAGTGCCGTTATTTCGGATCAACTCTATTCTCCTTGAGCGCCCAGATGGAACACAAATATGATGTTTTTCAACATGAACAATAGACTCTAACAGTAAGCAAAAACATATGAAAAATTTTATTTTTTATATATAATTCCGTAATTTCAAATAAGTAAAGAACCAGCTCAAGGTTTTGGAAACTTAAAGAAAAATATTTATATGTCTACCTATTTTGTACAGCGACATCTTGTGAAATTATTTCATTTGTGAGAATTATGAATCCAATGTTACAATTATTGCCATGCCTATAATATTTTAGAAGTGTTATAAAGAAGCATGATCCTGTGCTTGTAAAACAGTTTTCCAACGATTATTAATCAACGTGTCTGCTCTTTGACCACATATTTCCCAATTTAATTCACTCAAAATACTAAAATATAATTATCTACTTTTTTTGACAATATCGTTAATAAAATTAAAACTAAGCTAAATACCTTAAAAACCATTGCTGTGTAAGAGTATAAGAGGTGAGCAACCATTGTATTTCTTTTGTCACTGGATGTTCGGGAGCTCTGTGTCCATTGTACATCTGAAACCATATATTCACCAACAGTTTCCATTAGATATTTCTTAAAATTGCGTGAACGATACAGAGACAGATTTGTATAAATAATTGAATCTTGCAGACATATAACCTTAGCCGTACGCATTTCTATTTAACTCGGAAAAATATCATGAAGAAACCAATTTCCACGAATTTCTTTTAAGCCCAGCTTTTTTTGCTGACAAACTCGAAATTCATACTTCTAAGACAAAATGGGCAGTTTGCAACAACGTTGCATTGCAGGTAATCGTGAGTTTACCCAGTACTTCTTGTACAGAAGAACATCATTGTCCAGGCTTCTATTTATAAAACATAGCGACATTGCTGGTGGGGCGTTCTCAGCATACGGATCATGTTTCTTCATTAAAGTTTTTATTGCATCTATTACATGTTCTCGGTGCACGCCGTTTACGGCTGCACAGCATCTGCTACGTATCATCTTGAGTGCATTGAATGGACTGTTTTTCTCCTTATAGACCTCGGTTATCAAAAACATTTGGCAAGTACCACGGTATCTCGAGTTCGGCAGAAGACACCTGATACCTCTAATCCCCCGGTTCTTTACTTTATATGCGTAGGTTCGGTGTTTTTTCTTTGTCTATTTGATGGTTTTTAAGTCAATTTATTACTGTTGTTGTTATTCTATATTGTATATAAAATAGCTTGATATTTTTATTAAGACAACCACAGGCTACGCTAAGTGTTATAGATTCTCGGAAATTGCATTTCACCACTTTCAAAAAACCCTAATAAACAATGAGTTAAATCATAAAAGAATTTCGTAATCGCGTTAATTTGTAGATTTTCGCCCCCTTCGATTTTTGTTGTGTAGCATCAAAAGAACCAAAACTTTTGTACAAAAAGCTGGTTAAAATTGGAACAACAAAAAACGTACATAAAGTCTTTCTTGGCAAACACTTAATTGCTAAGAAGAACTTTAAAACATTAGTTTGTGTCGTTCCCTAACTTTTTCATAAATAATTCATATAAGAGGTAAAAAAAATGCAGGCCGGCAAATATCAATTATTCGACAAATCGCTTCATGCCCAAAACAAACGAAAAAAGTTAGAACAAACTTACGAGACATCATACTCTATTTCAATAGGTAGAACAAGGGCATAAACGATAAAGGATTTACCAAGTACACAACTGGTTTTATGCGCTAGAATAATGTATCTCTATAGTTTCTCGCAGACTGTAAACGCAGACAGAAAGGAACAACTCAGAGGCCTTAATGCAATGCATAAGTTATGGTTACCAAGCGGGTGGCTCGCAAAACAAAGAACTTTGTGCCTTTTATAAAAAAAAATTAATTAAACGCCTTAGTATATACTTATAACTATTTTAATTAAATACATTTCAGCTAAACGTTCAAAATTGGTCTGTTTTACTTATTTCCGAGTATCTACTTTGTGCTCACAACACAAAGCCCACGACATGGGCTGCTTTTAATAAAAAAAAGGTCTCGACTGCAACGGTCATAAAAATAAAAACAATAACAATAGTATATATATAAAAGGGTAAGTAGGCTACGCTAGGCTTTAGCAATGCTTTAAGCTTAGTACCTCCACATAATATTACGGACTGTCTAAAGTTGCAACATGAAAGTTTTTACCATTTTGTTGACCTTTTCACCTAATATTTCTATATTTTATTTACACATTTTTAGATTATCGAACTTCTAACTTTAGGAGGAACAGAAAGAGGTATTGTTATTTAATTTATTGTTGTCTTGGTAAAGCGACTGATAGTTAATGAGAGAAAAGCATTTTTTGCCACAACAAAAACTTCGAAGCGAGTATATAATGAATACAATGAAAATCAGATGTTTACCTTGCAAATAGCATCTCTCCAAAAGGCAAGCCTGCCGTATCCAATCTCAACCCTGGATACCTGATCCCTAACCAGTGACAACTCTGCATTCAGTGCCCGAACTGCAAATGCCGCCCGTCGATTGTCACCTGAAATTTTGTTGTAACTATAGTAAACCGTATAATGGTTACGACAAAAAATAATTATATCAATCTGTTAATAGAAGGTAATAATTTTTTTTATAAAAACTATGAAACCACAAGACATCGCTATACTAGAACGTTGCACATGCGCGATGCGCAAGTTCACATGATATGAAACAAATTTTTAATTTGGCCCTAACGCGACATTTTCAGACAAATTTGTGTAAAATCATATTAGCTGTATCTGAATCACAATAAGGCTTAATTTTTAAAATACGTAATTCTTTTTGCTGAGGACTGCCTTGGACTGTACCCTTCAGATAAATGGTTGCAAAATTTGGTGGGATTATTATAGAATAGTAATTAATGTTGTCGAATTTAACGGTTTCGTCAGCATGCTAGTCCTAATAGTAATTTTTGTACTTCCAAAATTATAAAGATTTGAGTTAACTGAAACGGACATTTTGTGATTAGAAGTGCATACGTTCTTAGAAACGCATACGGTAGGAGAACAAGCACCCGCACGTATGGTAGTACGTATGTGGTAGTTAAAAAAAAGTTTCCCATACATTCCTCCATAACCCGGATACACCCAGGTGTTGTCTCCCAACAGTTTCAAGAAACCGAATTTATAGTTAACTGGGCGAGTCTGAATGAATATTAACACTGTTTCCCAAATTAAAGATGTGAAAAAAAATTGTTTTTAATCTAAGTAGTGAATACACTGCTTATTTGTAATCTGTGTATCGCTATCAGAATTCAATGTAATTACTAACAAATACAATTCTCGTAGTGCGGAACTTTTAAATTGGCCTTGTTTCAATGGCATATTATAATTGCCTATTTTACCTCAAAATTCAAAGCATTTAAAATATGTAAATCCAAACCTTCAACAAAAAAAAATATCGTTTCAAGCTCGCACACTTGAACTCCTCCGACATCTAATAAAAACGTAATATAGAGACCTCGATTTTACAACTTTTTAATCAATTTTTATACTCTCCTACATATCTTGGTTGCATTAGAAATAACAAATAGAAAAAAACGATTTTATATTTTACACATATGAGGCTATACTCTATTGTTTCCATTTATAGCTAGGCGTCTTGAAAACTAATTCACTTTGAAGAGTTTCGATAGCCGTGATACTTGCAGGAAAAAATGTTTCAACGACTATCCATTCTACCCTAGAAAAACTGTGTATCAACTTACTTAAATGTATTTTGTTAGTCATAGTAACAGACTCTCAATTAAACACTGTTAAGGAATGTTATTATATTTATACAACACGTTTATCCTAGTTCAATGGGAGGTTTACATCAGCAAATATTGCGTGAATCCACACGAAAGACACGAAGGCGAAGTAGGAGTTTGGAACATCTTATACTATCTGTGAACCTTAGGCATCAATATGTACTTTTGTCAAATGATTTGTTCTTATAATGAATACTAAATAAATTTCTTTATCTTAAAAAACGTACATGTCAGATATTTCTATTAAATGCTTGTAATAATTCTTTTAGTGTGCGTCTGTTACACATTTTATAGAAGTGTTCTACAACTAAACATGGGATGCCAATAGACTTAGAAAGAGATATCAATCATGAATGAATGATAAAGCAACAGCAATAACACTCATTTCAAAACTACATCCCAAACACGAAGCCCTGAAATAAATCGCTAAAAGTGCTGAACGATATACTTCTAGATCTACAAATGTCTCCGTCCAATACGCACCAGATTAGGTAATACGAGGATCGGAGATAACTGCACCGTGAACAGAAAGTAACTAGAGAGTGTTTTGCAAAGGATGCGCCTTTATAGAGGAGTGTAGCATTCTGGACTGCTGCCAAGAGGCCCAGATATGCTTTTTTTTGACTATCGAATCCTTTAAATGTAATATTTTAGGATAAGTAACGCATGGTTTTCCATGCCTAAGGATCGTGTGCGAGCTGACTCGATGCTTTTGCATACAGACTTCAAAGTATCAATATTGTTAGAAATTAAAAAGGATATTCTTCAATCTATCCTACTGGTACCTCTTCCATAATATATAATGTTGAAGTTAAGCAGAGTAATTTTTTTATGTTATGTCCGATGATGAGACCCCAAAAAGTGAGTTTTATTATTAAAGCATCGATTAGTGACGAATGTTCAATAACGATTTTTGTTATTGACGATGCTTTCTAGAACTTCAAGAATGGCTTTGGACTGGGCGCCGAATGGCATAATTTTGCCAGTGGATATATCCAAAGTAACCGAATGAAACCGATAGTAAACCGTCGCAATTTACAGGAAAGGAAAATACTGTTATTTTACAATCATTTCATTTATTTTTCCGCAGAGATGGTTGAATTACAGAAAACAAGTTGTTTAACGTCTAATAGACTTAGCTATAAAAGTATTGCGAAGGTAATTGAATGGATAAAAAACATATTCAATAATCAGCTTTAGGTGGACAAGGACGTTCTCACTATAATCTACAGGGGTAACCTGGTGTAGAATAATTAAGCAACTGTTTATAATTAACTAAAAAGCATGCCTTTTTTTATATATATATTAACCCAGCAAAGAAGACTCATTCTATTAAGGTTCGCTAAGGCATAATTGGATGGCTCTAATGGTGGGTTTTTAAAAAGTAGGTGAAGACAAAAGGTTTGTTTATACCTAGAGAGTTTTATCGCATTTTACGAATCGTAATTTTTCTTTCTTATGGATGTATATATACATGTAATGCTGCTGCGCACACAATCGCCTTGCTGCGATTTAATTACGAGTTCCGTATATACTAATTATCCCCATAGTTACCTTAAATTATAATATATGGTGCGTGAAAATCTTTTACTCTACTTTAAAACCGTCAGAGTCTTCTCTTACATCTGGTGGCGTGTTACCGATTTAAGGTTCATTAGTTTAGAGGTACATACATTATAATACTGGTTTACGGTATTTTCGACTGTTTCATACAGAGTTAAAAAAAGAGTTCGTCAAATTATTTATTTACTTACGAATCTAGTGTAGTATATGTTATTGGCAATGCTTGAAGCAGCTAGCCCAGGCTTCTATCAGCCCACTAACCAATATAATAATTCTGTAAGTATAAAGGGCCTAATAATTAAAAATATGAGTCGTATATCTTTTATAAGTTTGCCAGGTGTAAGATAATGTAATAGGATTATAGATCAACTAAACATTCGCGTAATATTTACTCATTGTGAGTAATCGATGTGCTGCTTTTCAGTCGCGTTATATTAAGTTAACAACGAATATTTTAGTTCTTCGTAAATACATTTGATCGTATAATCGTGCACATAAATGTATTTACCACAAATACATATACACGTGATCAAAAAGTCGGTGATGTAATAAAATAAAACTAGCATGCACACAAACAAGGACCAAGCATTTATATTAAGTAAGCAATTTCTCCCAAAATACTTAAATGTAAGATTCCATTATAATCCTTCATATGGAAGTGTAACTACTGGGGGCTGGTAATCTAAATTAAATGTTTCGAGTTTTATGTCCGGCACCGCCGTTAGGTATTCCATCAGACGGCTGGCTCCCAGCACGAAACGAAGCGTGTCAATGGTCGCAGTCGCGCTTAAACCACCACTTGTTCCTAAGATTGGCAGACAAATACGTTACCGACTGCTATATTACAAGGACAGAGGACGGAAGTGCAAGTAACAAACACAACACTTGAACATGATGTAGATGGAAGTAAGGGTTAACTTGGCTCGAATTTACACATGTATAATACAAAAAATTTATATAAATATGTGAAAAAAGGATTTGTTGAGAAAAAAAATGAGAAGAAGTAATAATATCACTAACCTTTTAAAAGTAGCAAGCAGAGGTAATTTTCGAAATCAACTTTTTTTACTAGACTCACACAGTATTCGGAGGGAGAGGCACAAGATGCCAATGCTCGTAAAAGCAGTGCCCCTGATGTCCGAGCACTCTTTGCACCGTGAAATAACCACATGATCCACTATATGGAAAAAGTTGCCCTTCGTAGAACAACACTGACGGAAACATTGACGAAAAAGCTTTTAAGAGTAGTGAAAATAATTGTTTTCAAGTATGCAGACACATTAATGAAGCGAACTTCGTAGTAACACTTTATATGCAACCATTGTTTACCTCAATAAATAAGGTAAACAATACACAGTCAATATCAGATGTTGCGTAACAATAAAAGTGCTTGGTCTTTTGGGTTTAAAAAACACTATTCTTAATTCAAAATTTGCGCCTAGATGTAACATGGAGGACCTACTGGAACCTTGTTTTTAGAACCGTTATTTCACGGAAAGATAGCTGTCGGATAGTTCCGCACTTTCCAATGAGTGAATTATAACTTCTCAAACATTATTTCTGTATTTATAATGGCGGTTAGTTTGCAAACCCAAGTCTCTCTTCGGGACAATATGCTGGCAGTTGTGGAAACAACGTTGAGGTCTAATTTGAGAGTTGGTAGAAGATGTACGTCGAAGGATACAGCTAAGTTGGTGTTGCAGCAGCTGACTGTGATTATAAAAAGTAAAGTGTGGAGAAATGCTCAAGATTTGCTTCGAATTCTACGTGAGTTTGGAAACAAACTTGTAAGTAAATTTATAATTCTTTAGTAATATAATACAAAGACCGAACAACACAACTTTGTTATTTCAGAAACTAAGCGAACCCTAATCACCTTTTTAATTCTTGAGATGATTTATCTAATACATGCATAATGTGTTGCCTTAAATTCACATTAAAATCAACTAACAGGATACGGTAAAAATGACCTTTTACAAAGCCTTTAGACTGGTCATTTTGAGTTTCGAATTGCTTGCATACCCTATCATATTCAGATGGAACACAAGGATAATCAATATTTTTAATAATTTTTATTTTACTATTAGATTTATAGATCCCCTTAGAGTATGCGAGTATGTTAACGCTTATCGCAAATATTCGTTTAACTTTACAATTCGATTAATTTAAACTTATCATATAGAGTATCATATAGTTGAGTGAAGTATATGAATGGCAGTTATGTCCTGTAAGATAAGGCAAGTGTAGGAACGATTATTAATTCCAGTTGGTAGCAGTTTGGTTTCCAGAGGTTCCAGATATTGGATATGTTTGAAAAATAGTAATCCCTATTAAGAATCCTACGTTTCCATTTCTAAAAAATCTCTTATTGCTAGAATTAAACTGAATTTTGAAAACAACGCTAGAAGTGGCTCTACCGAAATTAGCCATAAAAAAGATTAAGCGCTCCGTTATTTGAGATTTTCGAGTTTTACATTAGAAACTGCGTGAAGCCTTCCATCACGCAATTTTGAAGGCACTCAGCGAAACATTGCGTCTATGCGCGAATTTAAGCTAATAAGCTGAGTATCATAGCAGTATAATATCATATCTGAGGCCGCACAGGAGGCAAATTATGTCATTGTTACGCCATTAAGAACACTACAATCAGCTACACAGGTACCGTAATTTGATCTAATAAAGTCATGGTTCTTCCTTCAGGGAGGCCTTAAGAAGAGTCAGAATCCGAAAATACTGCGTCCACCACTGGCGCAATTCGCTACTGGATACGTTGTGTATCCAGTGATAAAGCCTGCACCATCTAAAACTATTTCTTATACTATAATAACATTCTTCTATCAAACCGCACTGTGGTTACTTTATACATATGTCTTACTTTGTCAATTGAATAACCGACATTAAAACATACTAAGTTTATATTCCGAATGACATAAAAAGGGTTTGGAATTTAACTTAACATGAAAGAAAACTCCTTCCTGAATCGTGCCGAGATCTAATTGAAAGAGCACGAAATCGTTTAGCACATCGAATCTGCCTATACATAGCAAAAAACTATCCGCCACCTATCAAAAGTCCTGGAGAAAGGAGCGTTCTAGGACACTGAAGTGAGATCAAGAGATTAGTTTTCTAAACTAGCCACGACAAATATGCAGGCAGATACAGCCCCCACTAGCTCAGTCAGTAGCTCGATCGCTGCTTATGTTAAACGCATGTTGCCATCGATCCCAAAGATGTTCATCTACATTGTTGAAATATAATGACATGATGTTTTCTGTTTATGCAAAAGTGTTAGCTTATGATTTAACATAACTCAAAGTAGTCTTGCCGCTGTTAAACTGAAGTTTTATCCACTATATACTCGACTTTACTCAATAGAGCTCGTACTGAATAATTAACGTTGTAAAATAAACGTGTACTTAATCTTTTGTGGAGTAGGCTATGTACAGAAAAACGTTTTAAGGAAAGTTTAAATTCTTGTCACTTACAGTTCCGCTATTGGCTTTGTATGGCTTGGTGTTGGCCAGCTTGAAAGAACTTAGTAAGTTGTTCAATTTTCGAGTGATAATTGCTTTGGATGACACATGCGCGAACTAAGCAAAATAAATTACAGCGATGAAACGATTGGATAGAAAAGGGTGGTCAGTGCCTGGCTTACGGCAACAATCTCGATATTTATCAAAGATGTATAATATAAAAGTAGATTTCAGCCGCACCTTGTCCTTAAAATGCATCGGAAACGTCTGTCATAAATTTTAGTAACAGAGTATCTGTTCGTGTCTTGTGCATTTCATCTTATTGTTTGTTGACAGGTGGAGTTGGACCCAGCAGAAACTGTAATCGGAAATGTAGTTCGTCGCGTATTAAAAATTGTCCGAGATGACTATCTTCGTGTTCATTGCGGTCATTTAGCGGATACCCAAACGAAACTTCTACTGCCCCATGCTGCCGACGACTTTGCCACTACGTACATTGATCTGCAGGACCATATCCTTGAGTCGCTCGATGAATTGCTGCAGGAAATTGATTTTGCTATAGACAGCATCATTCAGCACGCCCCGCGGCTCATCAACGACGGCGAGGTGGTTCTTACCATGGGTAAATAGCGCGTTGCAACTTAGTTGTAGCCAGTTTTTTTTTCATTCACCTGCCCTAATTGCCTTACTCCAAGGACCTTCCGAATCGTAAGCGTCATCTAATTATTACACCGAGGGGACCAGAAATGAAGTAACAACAGCTGTAGTTTAAGCTGTCTAATAGACTCTAAACATATTTCTAACTAATAAAGCTATAGAAAAAGCTCTTGCAGAAAACAGTTGAAAAGGGCATTCTAAATTGGTGATAGCGTTTTAGTAGTTCTATTTGACATGTACTTTGCTGTGTACCTTTTTTTAATTGTATTTTTTTAGGGGTCGAAAAGTGGTGTCAGCAGGGTAGGCAACTCGGTTAAATGAAATAACTTGTCTAAAAAATATTTTATAGATATACTACATGCTGCTCGTTCATAAGTTGCTTCTACCACAACCTTAGTATTGTCCACAGCACCGTCATAAAAATATCAGATACACGTTGGTACTTTCCTTCGTTTACTGAATCCTACTCTAGTCTCTATTTACCGCTTGATTTTATTTATGTTTAATAATTACTGTACCTCTCATGAAATTTCCTGACTCATGTGCAATTTCTTTACAAAAAAACCGATTACCTCTATGTAAAACACCCAAAAATTATAAACATAGGGCTAGAAAAAAATTGACACCATAAGTGGCATAAGTATTGAAGATGTAAACTGACGATATAGTGCTATTCAATAACAATACTGTAAATAAGTGCATTAAATGTAACATTCGTGTATCATACCCGCCTTGCAAGCCCATTTACTTTTGCAGCATGCTATCTCTTCGATCGGTTCAATAAATGTTGGCATCTTTTTTTGCAACTTATTCACTTACGCGGTAAGCGCCTTGTTGATGAATTTGATGTGAATATCTCTTTGAGCGACACTTTGAGATCAGATCGTCGCTCAAAACCAGATCTGATAAATATAGTGAATGACTGATCAACCCGAACCCCAATTTATACATCTTTGTCGTAGCAACCATTGAGGCATAAAACCGTGCGGTATCCTGTTGAAACAGCGCTTTCTCTTTCTCAAATGCGGCTGCACTTGCCGGCTCTACCTTATTAAGTAACGATGCTTAGTATACCCCCGATATTGTTTTTCTCTTTTCAAAGTGGTTATGATTATCTCAAAAAACAATCGCCATTACTTTCTCGACCGATAAAACAGCTTTTGTTTTTTTTCGGAACCGATTCACTATTTGCAATTGATTCTTTCGACTGTCTTGGCCACAGAAGTGAAAAGTATATGTACGTTCCATCTACCATTATTAATTGATACCAAAAGCTTCGATTTATTTATTTCGCTTACGCTGTTGCAGCAGGGGATTAAATATTCATCCAATGTGTGCTGGTCCTAACTGAGCTAACGCGGTTAGCCTTTTCCTGCCGAAATCTTCGGTCTACATATAATAAACTCGTCTCTCGACGGTCACAGCCTATTTTATCTCTCTAGCCTTAAATTGATGGTTGCCTAATACCATTTGGTGAAGTTCCTCCAAAATTTTACGGTGGCGAAATATAGTGCCAAGCCCTCGTAAGCAGCATCCAGCCTAGCTTAATTTCCATAGATGTATTGATTTTTAAACGTATTGAATTTGATGATGGATGTGTATTCAATTTTTTTTCATTTTTACAGAGTTAGTAACATGACTTCTTACAAACAACCGTTAAACAACTACAAGATTCACGAATATTTTGTAACGCATGCGCCATTATATAACCAGAATATTTTTGATGAATAACGCCATCTCTATGTTGGCAAATTGTTTCGAGTTTTAGTCTGGTATCACCATTAGACATTCTATCAGACGGTTGGCCCTCAGTACGAAACGATGTGTGCCTGGATTCGAATCTAAACCACGAACGTATCCCTAAGATTAAGAGGCAAATACGACTCATGTTTAGGCTGGAAGCTTCTCAGGTTATCTTCGTAAGTTTAAGAAGAGAGCACATGCTATTTGAAAAAGTTGTAAAACTTATCCAGCAGGTCTCAATGTTGACAACAGCAACTATAAAGTGCGAGTTTGCGACTAATTTGTTTATAAATGCCGTTGTATTTAAAAAATGTAGTGTACACTTCATACTTTCTTTGTGCAGAACACCCTGATGTTGACGCGTTACTCAGGAAGCCACGTAATAGTCGATGAAATGACACGATACAGTTTGGTTAGCTCTGGAAAACATTCACTAATAAAGTGACAAACCACGCCGTCAGCAGATGCAGTTATCGTCTACTCATGCTGTCACGGGGACCTTCGTACCTGCCGATTAATCTAATTTGTTTGAATTATTTTTTAAGCTAAAACTCTATTTGTTCATAACAGGGAAGTCGCGGACAGTGGAAGCGTTCCTGCGAGAAGCGGCAAAAAATAGGCACTTCACCGTTGTTGTTTTGGAAAGTGCGCCAAGATACGACGGTCACGACGTGGCCAAAAATCTTGGCAAACACGGAGTATCAACATTCGTTGTTCATGATTCAGCTATCTTTGCAATGATGGGGCGCGTTCATAAAGTAAGCCTATTAATGTAGTTTTATGTCTGCAATATCGTTATAATACAAAATTGAGATAAATTAAGTTTCCAAGTGACTGCTGTATTTAGGTTTTTGCATTTATCTCGTACTAATAATTCAGTCTTAGAAAAAGGTTTTATTAGCCTTTGCAGTCGTTTCGTGTAAATCACAACACATAATTTTGTGTTTGGAATCTAAGATTGGGTATGTAAGGTGGCAAGAAACATTTGCGGCGCCCTTTGTTTGACCTTCATCAAAGGAGAAACGCTACCGAAATAAGCCGGGATAAGTGTGGGTTGTATAAGACTCTATAGCTGAAAGTGGCACGTTGGGTTCAAATATAGCATTATCGACATAAAGAACGTGCATTATTCGATTTCGACGATTCCGACGTTCTGCGAAAAGGTTATCCGAGGCTACACTGATGTAGAGCAAAGAAAAATCTTTTTGATGAAACATAAAGCTTGTTCATCAACAAAAGAAAAATTATAAAAAGGAAGCAATAAACAAAAACCGCTACTAATTTTTTCGAAACCTAATACAAGTGGAACACATTATTTTCGGTAACTCCTATCTTGTACGTAATTGAAAGACTTATGCAAAAATGTTTATAAAATCGGTGCAGACACAATTCTTTTCACTTAGTGGTCATCGTTGTTTCTACGGTAAGAAATAACACACTTGATAATGCATTTAAAACAATTTTATATAGTAACTTTTTCTTGCATAAAGTTCCTTACAAAAGCTTGAAGAAACACAACCTCATATGTTTTTAATGTTTGCATTTGTTTTCGTTTAGGTTGTGTTGGGCGCTCATTCAGTGATGGCCGACGGTGGGCTAAAAGCTTATTCCGGAGCTTATGCGGTAGCGCGGGCAGCCAAACATTACTCGGTACCGCTTGTTGTTTGTACACCAGTTTATAAGCTTACCCCACAGTTCGTTACTTCCGAGGATCAACCGGGCTTTAACAAGCTGGAGTCGCCGCAGGACATTTTTGATTTTGCCGAAAGTACTTGCGAGCTCGACGACGCGGAATTCCTAAACCCAGTATTTGATTATGTTCCTCCAGATTTAGTGCCACTGTTCATCTTCAATGTTGGAGGCAATAGTCCTTCATACGTGTATAGGCTAGTTTCTGAACTCTACCATCCAGACGACTGCGACCTTTTGACAGAACTATAGAAATTAAAATGTTTTTTTATAATAGGTGTACAATAAAAACGGCCTAGCAATCAATACAACGATGTGAAGCGAACCGCAGTTACGTTGAATAAGCACGTCCGTTGGAGACGTTTGTGGTGGCTTGTGTAAGTGATTTCATCTATATACTTTCCTTCTGCGTCAATCCAGAATTTCTAAAGAGCAAATTGGTCCGAATGTAGTTGATGAATAAACAGTTTGTATTATTTATGGCTTCTTTTTGTAGTTACTTTTCATTCTATTTTAATAAATTTACTAATTGTCAACTGCCAAATTTTACTTTTCTACGGGTAAAAATGTCGATTTATCGAACGACAAAGACAGCATTTTTGGCATTTAATAATAATAACAATAATTAAAAATGAAAACCATAACAACTGTTCATTCATGGACTCGTATGATACAAAACATAAAATATTATTTTACTATTAAAAAAACTATGTATTGTCTAACATCAATAATATTATTACATTAAGTGTCACGCTTGATGAACACACAGTGCAGTACTTTTCTAGGTTTTCTCCACCCAGTCGCTAACGACCTAGATATCTAACGTATTTGGTCTCGAACGCTACAGGACAATTACGCCAGTAATGCAGCAAACTGTAGGAGAGTTTCAACGGGTTTCGGTTAGCCACAATCAAGCATGTTCGAACGAGAGATAACAATGTATGCATTTACTTGAACGGATATAAAAGGCCACGCAACATCACAGGGTTGCAAACATCTTAAACAATGTCTCTGTAACGGCTTGTATTGACCTTTTAGTCGTTATAGAGTGGTATGATTTGTATTTTTTGCTGTTTACAGGTATTGCTGTTTAAGTGAGTTGCCAAGCTCAACAACGTAATTTCAAACCGATAGAATATCTTCACTCGACTTCTTGAATTCGTTGAGTGTGGCCTTTAGCCGTTTCCCAAAAAGGATAATTGATAGGTAAGTCTACATCTCTTGGCTACAGAGTTTTTACTGCATAAGAAACGCAAAGCAAATATTTTTATACCAAACCGGCGTCTGTTTCGAACGTATCTCACACTACTGGACCTTTAGTAGGATCTGTAAAATACTCGTAAAATCAGTTTAGCTATGTCAGTCTAACTAAATCCTTTCTTGTTGTTTACTTATAGGATTCTTGCCACACTTAGTCAGTTTTATCCAAATTGAGTTTCGAAAGACTCTGATTTTTCCTTACCGAGTAAACTATGAATATCTAACACAGGCATAAATGTGTTAGATATTCATATTCAGATTAATTTTACTGTAATAGTAGAGCATCTTCACAAGATGCATTACATGCTATGTCACTAGTAAGTAATCCGTTTATGTCTCAAAAGAATATTTTTCAATTTCGTAAGCATCATTAAAGCTTTATTCTAAATCATAGTGATCTTCATCTAACTATGAATCTGAGTAGCTACCACTTTACTAAGCATAAAGTTACTTTTTTGACGGACAAGCCCTTTGAATATTCTATCTATCAAAATGTTTCCCCGTCCTTTTTCAATTTACTGAATTACAGTGCATTTTCAGTGATTGTTTACTAAAATGAGTCCCGAGCCATTGAATTAGTTTTTGCCAAAGATCGAGCTTCGTCTGGGCCTGGGACTGGGCTGCCATCAGGATTCGTAGATTAAACGCTCATAGTGTGGGTATACATGTGAGATTGGGGTGTGCAATGAGAATTCTAGAGCTACCAATACTCCGAACTCGGCGTCTACAAGGTCGCACCGATTTAACCGGAATCCGGATTCTATGCGCTCTATTAATGTCTGCAAATCTTGACCCTGAAAGGAAGTAATTTAACGTTATTATGACTGCAGTAAAAAGATACTGTGCACCTGTTAAAATAATAGTGTTTATTCAACATTCTTGATATAATAAGGTATAGATATTTCTGACAGAGTTTCGCATATAGAAATGTTGAAAAATAAAGTTTAGAAATGAAAATTTGTTTTAGAGTTACTGTTATATCCACAAACTGTAATTCAGCAGCTGAAATAGAGTTCGGTTTTTCCAGCTCAAAAACAATGTAAAAATGAAACTACGAATTTTAACTTTGTGCATTCGGTGCTCAATAATCCACAAATTACTCTTTAGACTATCGCTATGTTGAGATTAATGAATGAATGATGGAAATTATTTCGTTGCTATTGCTGGCTTTTTCCACAAATATAACGCTTCAAACTATCAAATTGATTAGCTACCCACTGTCTAATTTAGGTAGCTCAATTAAGAGCTGCATAGGCAGAAAATATTAATATAGGTCCGCATTGAATCTTTTTTATACAAAGTGATTTGACCCACCTTAACATCGTTGAGTTTGGCAGCAAGCATAAGGCATGCACCAGCGCAGAGCTTTCTGTTTGACTTATTTATTAAGCATTTGAGAACAAGTTTTTCGTAAAACACATATGAGTGTGCTACAGTAACCAAGTCAATGCCACATTCAAAATTAGCGATCTTGAACATTTCTCTTTTCAGTGATCGTAATTTGCTCAGAGTCAGTCGTATCTTAGGAAACTTCTCTCGAAATTTATCGTTAAGTTCCTTTTTGAGATCAGACGCCTTCACGTAATAGATTATAGATGCGATATAGCACGGAAATGTAAGCTGTGTTGAGTGTCTCCCAACAACCAACTCTGGTGAATCAAGAAAATGTGGGTCGTAGGCACAGTCGCAGGTGCAGAGTACTGGCCCACACGATAATGCAGATTCAATGCATAGCGGATCCGTCGATTCTATAGCCCGGGCCTGTATAGTTTCTTTGTCTTCTAGACTGACTGGGCAACAGTGTTTTTGAAGAAGACTAGCAAAAGAGAGTTCCTGATCTCCACCCAGGCCGCGTAGACCTAGCATTGAGAGGATATCACCAGAGTCACCGTTATCCGAAATGGTGGACAGCTGTCTATTGGCATTTTTCCTTGTAGACTCTAATCGACTTTGTCCCCGTTTTATATATGGAAGAGCAGAAAAAACAACAACTGGTGCCTTTTTTGACGACATTACGTAGATACGGCCTTCGCGATGATGTGGGCGTGCAGAGCGAAGCTCTAATGAACTGGAATTATTTGAGCAGTCTGAAAAGCTACCTGAATAGTGTCGTTGCCTTGCAGTAGTCAAACTTTCGCACGATCCGTTTCTAGCATTGGTATTAGAATTCGAATTGACAGTGTTGACTGCCTTTTTGCTGCGCAAACCAGAGAGCGAACTAAGGCGAATTCTGGGTTCTACGAAGCTTTGCATACGGTTCCGTTTTTCCGTAGGACTTCGATGAAAAAGCTTTTCTTCACTGGTAGCAGATATCCGATGTCGTTCTTTGTCGGTCCTGATAAAAATGTTATGGTCATCATCGTGTAGAGCTATTTCGCTGACCCTATCATCTTGCGGAAGATGAAGTGGTTTGCTAGACTCCACTTGAGGTAAGAAATGCCCTAACATGGTATCTCGGTGCGACCCATCAAGCGATATATTTCGTAGAAATACTAGTGCCTCCAGATGCCGTTGGCGTAAGTTCTCCAATACATGGGCCGACATCCTGTAATTACTTTCAATAATGTATGCAATATAAAACAATTATATAATGTGAGACACTCATATACACAGCGAATGTATGTTTTTATAAGATGACGCTCTGTGTAACACTCTATAACAAAAAATTCTATCTACTTCTACTATATACTGTATACACTTGTCTCACTAAAGCTGGAGTAGCAAGTTTGTTTGAATCAGAGCGATCTCTTATCGTTGATTTTTTGTTGATTGCTAGAACATTTAAGCGGAGAACGGAACCGGTTGGCCAAATATTTCTCTCATGCAGCTTAATGTTAATTTGATTGGTAATAAACCAAAGCCAATAACGTTCTTATTTTCCATGTTTGTAAACAATCACGCACCAGCGATCTGGAATGATAAAGTGCATTTAAGCTATACTTGCAAATAAGATATCAGGTTTTGGGTTTATTAAAATTATAGTCTGCTAACTACTAGCGTACCGTGCTGAAACAATCTTGATCAAAAACAGTAGTCGAGAGGGCAAGGAGAGCTGCCGATATAGCAGAGTAACAAATGGTAGACGTTGAGCAGATCGTGGAAGACAGCAGGGTTCCAGACAATATAAAACAGTAACAAAAACGCATAATCGGCACAGGTGAAAAACGAGAGAGAAAACAAGCTTCTAGGCCAAATACAATAGCAAACAAACGCAAATGATCAACATCGCGCTAATATTGAAAGTCTAAACAACTCTGAACAGACCAGAACCAAAACATCTCGGTAGATATCGTTAGAATGGACGAAATTAAAATGCCGTTACAGTAAAACATACCTCAAAGATGAAATCGCAGATTTTTGTCGTATGCCAGGACAAGCTAAATTAAGAAATATGCAACTGCAGAACAAAATAAGCTGTATGAGCGATACAACAGGGCAAAAGCTTTTGGAAAATCAAACAATTCAGTCGTTTATTTAAGATTATTCTTTACTATCACAGAAAAGTGTCGCTTTCTTTAAAGGACCTACAATTATAATTAATTATGCAGGGTGCTGCTTATAATAAAATGGGACACCTGGGAGCAATCCATTATTATTATTATAGTTTTTTACTAAAAAACTACGTTAAATGTCGCTCACGAGTTTCAAATTGTTCAGAATTTCATCCAGCCGCTTGTGATTTTGAGGGCATACTTCAAAAGAAAAATCTTACGCTCGACACCTAATTACAGCTAAAAAATTATTAAAGACTAAAAAAAGGCACATATCATCATTTATGCTAATCTATGTCCATTAATAGAGCATGAAAGCACGTGCAGCGTTCAATCAGCGGAGGAAGCATAAATAGTTGTTTAAAATGTGACATAATCAAGTATAATACCAGGATGCATCTTCCTACGATACCGAGACGGTCCGAGCGAAGAGGACAACCAAAATAGGCAGAACTGTAGATAATTTCCGAATCATAACGGTCCTATGACTACCTTCATTGTGCAATAATTTCCTTATTGAAAAAGATTGGGACCATCAACTCAATTGGCACATCTCAGTAAAAAATCAACCGCACTGCGATATTATGCATATCGGATTAACATATATGTCAAACATGGGCGTCAGTTTTAACAGTACCTGTTTGATCGAATACCTAAAGATCGAATCGGAAAATCTGTTCTACATTTAACTTAATCAAAGGTCTAATGCAAAAAAAACTAATGCCTTAAACAACAGGAGATACTTCCACTTATAGGCGGACAGAGATACATAGCAGAACTCTGAATAGGTGCGTGAACCTTTGCACGTCTAAAACTACTTTATCCGTTCTGATATTAATATGCAATGCATACTATCCAAAAATAGTAAGCCACCATGGTGAAGACAAGCAGCCAGAAAATGAGCCAGATTTAACCATTGAAACCAGTTGAGAAAACTACGATATATTTACGCAGGCTGAACTCCGGGGTCCAAACGCAGATTCGTAACATGATAGATTTATCCTCAAACATATAATTCATGGCCTGAGTTATACTGCCAATTTACAGTATATAAAATATGGTAAGTACCCGAAAATATACTCAAAACCATACACCAGACGCACACTAAACAAAGAAAGGGTTTTACTCTACATCTTGGGGAGGCTTTCCCGAAATTTCTGGAGGTTTCGCAAGTTATAAAAAAAGCAAGTAGCATTAAAACTATGAGCTTGTATGACATTGAACAGAACCATACAATACTGAGCTTTTCAAGACTTTCAATTGTTATTTCAACGTTGAGATATGCTCATTAATCAAATCAGCTAAGTATATTACAAAATATAAACTTAACAAATAATAAATTTGTCTTGTCGGCGAAATCAAGCAACACCGAAACGGTAGAGACGTCTATGTCAAGCAGTTGTCCAAATGTTAGGTTTCTGGACCTATGACCGATATTCCTCCATCAAACGACTACATCTATATTTACCGGAAAACAACAAGTGTTTTCTCAAGAAAGCACTTATACGGTTAGTTGGAAATAAGAAAATGATAACAAAGTTAACAGTATTCATGGCTGTTTCTAACAATCTGGGGCATCAGTTGAACAAAAGCCTAGAGGATGCAAATTTCTTACTTGCTACCAAAAAAAGGCCTTTGCGTTTTTAAACAGTAAATCCATGTTAGAGAAGATTTTATTATTTAAGATTATTACTTCATAATGTCTGCGGATCCACGTTGCTTGGCTTCCAAAAAAAATGAATAAAGCCGGCTTACGAAAAAAAAAGTTTGCTTACTTAAAGGACAACTTCTCGAAAATGATCATTGGCAAAAGATTATGGATAACGCCGAAAAATACGTCAGAACATTCGCAATCTCTTTGTGATTATGTAATGACGAGATTAGTAGCCAACCTGGTAAACTTATCGATTTTCTGCAAAGATGCGGTTGTTGAATACTATCACCGCGAAGATCGGCTATTGTAAAGCAACATAACCTTTCGCATTGCTGACGTCTACCATAACAAAGCTCTTACATATTTGTAGGTAAAGTACTTTAACAAAGGACAAAAGTCTCATTTGCCAACCTCCAATAAAACTGGAACTCCAGTACGATACCACTAATCAAAACAAAATCATAAATATACATCAACCAAATCAAACAAAGCCTTACAGCGTTCTTCAATATCGTCTAGGACAAGGCAGCGGCTCAATCATCCTCCTCGACGCCTCAAGAAAAATATGTCACCTTTTATAGTAAATTTAATCCTAGCCAAAGTAAGGGAGGGTGGAAAAGTGATTATCGGAGAAGCATCACCGGAGATCACGACAGCTTTGATTCCCAAACTGAAGGCCAAACTGCGCACTTTATATGCTTCAAAGGTCCTTGTTCACATTAAAGTGGACACATTGTGCTACATAAAAAAGAATTAGAAAACCGCAGATCTACTATGTACAACGGCACCTTATATTTTGGACGAAAATTCGACAAGAAACCTTGAAAAGCATTGATCAAATACCTTGTAATATATGGAATAAAGATAGACTTTTACGGAGAATGGTGATACGAAGTAATCTGGAATAACAACAATTCTTGGTTGAACGATTTTCCAAAAATCTCAAGAATTATCATCGGTTCAAATGCGATTCCCTACAATTTTTTTTTACCAGTTTTAAAACACTTAGACTGCTTCGTAACCTACAACTAAGGAAGGGTTCACTAACTATCCTTGAGAGAAATTTCGATTTTTTAAACCTTGTAACGGCACAAAGGCGAGCGTTCATGATATATTCAACAAACGTATTATTACTTAACAGTGAAGGTTCCAAGCAGTAAACTTAAGTATCACATTGTTATGCTTTGAAAAAATACTTTAAATAGTTTAGAAAACAACGAAATTCAACTTCGGCTACATCAATTTCTAGTACAATTATGCCTTGCTACGGAAATTCCCATATCACAAGCGTAAACAATGGAAAATGTGTTCATCCCTCTCGAAGAACCCGTGTTTAATCGCAGTCAGCTGTATATATGTCTCAGTCACGTGCGAAACTTTCAAACCGTTGAGATTTTCCTAATGGTTCCTAAGGAAAACTAAAAATATCGTCATTTATAGCGGCATTATGTTTTCGCAAATAAACTTTCGTAAAGACTCATTAATAAGTCTACCCACACACAACTACATTAATTAAAACCTCGATGCTCGACGATGTTGCTTTTACACCAACAGTAAACAAATTATGATAATTCAACACAAAAAACAATGCCTAAACTCAAAGCAAAAAATACGATCTATTTCAAGGTTTACAAATATTTAGAAATCAAACGAATCTTAAGCACAACAATGAGATACATTCCAAAATAAAACGGGGGCTGTTCGACGTTATCCCTCCTATAAATATGACTACTTTTTACCTGTACACAGATGACGGAAAAAGCAAAACAGGCGCAGATCGAATCCTAGGGGTCTCTCTTGAATTTTATGCAACTAAAACTATCTTTGTTGGTCTATGTGTCCGATCCCAATCAACTCCCTAGGGTGATCGCGTTAGATTGACTTTTGATGGGTCAGTAGAGCTTCATAGTAGACGTAAATAGGGTTTCATTCTTGATGAGTCGCTGAAATTGAATACAGGAAGAGCAACGCGTAAGACAGAGTCAACTTGGCTAATATTTTTTTCTACGAGTTATACTTAAAACCAATAAAAATAAAAAAATTCAAGGACATTTTTTGCATGTGCTACACATGTGATTCCTGATGGTCCCGTCTACTCAATATAATTATCATTCACCGCAATTACATCTTCAATTTAAAATCAATCGTATTCTTCTTTAAAAACGCAAATAATTTTTATAGTAACTGTGCGTCAAACAAGATTGGTAGGTGTCGACTTGTTTAAGCCTCGCTCAAATAAGCTACATTAAAAAAAATCCAGCGGAAATTGAAAATTGGGAAAACCCAAAAAATTCAAGGACTAAAACATCTAATAAGTACATTAAGTGCAAAAATGCACAGAATGTCTTAGACTCACAGCTGAAGCTTATGTAAGCGACTCGATTGACAATCTATATTCTGCATTAGTTTCTATATAAAAGATCCAGGTGTATCAGAAATGCCCTTTTGGGCTTCTTCGATACATTTTCAGGCCCTGTAATCTAATCTCTATTGAGGATCTTCTGATTCCCTTAATGGAAATTCTCCCGAGATTTTTTAGAAGCCACGTAAGAACTGGCAATAACGTAGACTTTTGTTTCAAGCAAAAAAATGAAGCTTATAGCCTTAGAAAGGCTAAACACATTGAATAGTGGCTGATATTTGAAATAGGTGACCAAATCTGAACTATCAAATTAATTAGGTAAGTGTTATTAACTTACTATTTTGTTGCGATTCAGTGGTAAAATAGATTTATGCTAAATAGTTCGTAATTCATAAATATGAACTCAATTTTCGACATATGAGATATATTATTTAAATCGATGAATGCTTTTTACCAGGAAACAGTTTCTTTCCTCTATAGCAAGGTGTGATGCTAATTTTATTATTCTACCTAATGCTTAACATAAATGATCCTGGCATATACTTTATATTTTTTTACTGGATGAGTACTTTGAAAAAGTGGTAGGACAAATTGAAATAGAGAAACGGGATATTAAACGGGACAAACAGGCCAGACTGTTGCCGCACGCACACGCAAAATTCGTAACGTATAAGATTGAAATTTCCTTGAGTATTGGCAATCTTTAGAGTTACGCTCAGCTATTTCCTCGAACAATGGGATACACACAGTACGTTAACAGATTACTTGTAATGAAGTAACGAAATTACTGGGATTTTCTTTGCAGGTGGTCACCAATCATGTGAACAGGGCAACAAAACAGCACCAACGTACTAGAGTTAGTAACACAACGTAAAAAATTGATAGAATAGAATATATATATATATATACAGTTACAATAGCTACAATGATACTTACAATAATCGGCTAGCTACGATGAAATACCAGAAGTAATACCATAGGGTTATAAGACAATTGTAACGGAAAACCTATCAGTGTGTAAATGCTAAGACAGGATGATGAGGTAACTGCAGCGTGGTAGTAAAATTGTCAAATAATTTATTAGAAGAACACGATACGTGAAGTAAAATGACTACAACAGGATAAAAGTTTAGTAAATTAGGTGAATTGGGTAAATAAGATTACTCTTACGAGATTGCTGCAAGATTTCAAGAAAATTTCAACAGATTAATTACAAACGTGTATTCTACAATCCCACTATAGTCTATGTTAAGCTAGGTGTAATGCAAATTTAACTCATTCATTTAGAATAAGCTGATAAATAAAGATAAGAAAAGGTGTCTATAAGGTAAAGTTTCATTAATTCTATTGGTTGTTTTAATATCCTACCGCATATTATTTAGCGATGTGATTAAAATTTGCTTTATAGAAAATCTATACGCTTTAATTAACAAAAAATTCAAAGTACGTATAACGTATTTTATATATTATACGCATGTTATACGTACAAAAATACGTATAACATTTTTTTCTTTCTTTCACTCTGGGCTGCGATGCTACCAATTAGTTGTTACTTTTGTTTAGTTTGGAGATGCGGAAGTGCTGGACTATGGCCATGCAGGCAGATTTTGAGCAGTGTGTATGCGGATGGTGCGACGACCAAACGGGGTAATGCGAGTTAGTGGTGATCAATATGACGAAGTGTCGAAAGGACAAGCTTATATGTATTTAAACTCATTCATTCGCCTTTTTCAGGCAGCATTCACACGCTTGGAATGCGTACATTCATAAAAACTTGGCATAGTCCACTTATCCTATACAATACTGTACGTATGACGGCTTTACAAGACATGCTAAAGCTAGGGTATAAAGATGGTCCCAAAAGTAGTCGGATTGGGATTCATAGAATTATATGCAACTCTTGCATTATACACTATGTTACTAACTTTTTCGGTCATCAAGTAAGGTTACCCAACTGTTGAGCTTGTTGGCAACGATAATTATAATAATTCATATCGCAAACTTGCTTACGTGAAGTGCAAACAATATACTCATAGAAGTCTTCTATTTTGCATAAGTGATGGTATAAACCGTAACTTGCATAATGTATTATTACATGTGTGTTAGACCGGTCAAGTTCTTTCCACATCCTGTACGTTATAGCTACATTAGGTAGAACTCGAAACCGATTTTCGCAAATTTTCAATTCCATTTTGCCGGGTCCTCTTAGATTATTGAAGTTAGTGGTAAACTGAAGAAGCACCGAAGGTCTTCGATATGATATTTCTGCCAGTCGTAAGCACGCAGAGTGAGTAAACGGAATTTTAGCAATGCACGGCGGTTACATATGTACTCGTTCCATAGGAGTTTAGGTAAGCCAAGGTTGCGTTCTATTTTGGATTGCTTTTGAACCCAAGTTTGTCTCAATATCACACCCAACGTGTGCTAGTGCTTGTTAACAACAGTTGACTTTTAGTACACGTTAATGAAGGCACTCAATTTAGAAACAGACCAAGCAAGAAGTGAAAAGTATTCAAGGCATCAGGAATGTGCGCACGTTAGCAGAGTAGTGCGCAGTAACTTTAACTTGTATAAAGTACTGTATTGCCTAACAATATGTGCGGTGGGAACGTTCTCCATCAAGAGGATGTTGTAGTGTTCTATCATGATGGGGACGGCGAAACACTGCAAACTGTATACTGTCCGACTAAACTAACACGCATGACGAGGATCAAGTCAAACTAATAGTTGCCAAAAACGGTGTCTAATCAGAAACTGATAAACTCCTTTCAAAAACGTAGTTGATCTAAACTGAACAAATACTAATAATATCCGAGCGAACATGGAGATGGGCTCCGTAATAATTATTAGTTTGAAACCTTAGCATTAACGGTGGTTTCTTTCCAATATTTTTAATCTTAGAAATATGTGCAGTGTTATCTACTATGTAACACTTTGAATGGTAATGGCAGAACCTGACATTTCTAGCCCATTCTATTATGTTGAACACAACTACTACTAGATAACTGCCGTATGCAGCACCTCTGATTTCTGCGGTTTAGGATTGTCACAAACACATCATTTAAGAAAAAAAAATGTGTGCACTTTAGATAACTACATATCGGCACTCACAACGATAAGATACAGCATTGGCACAGTATGAACATCTAAACATGTTACCTTATACCAAGATTGGAAAAAGCTGGCTGCAAATTGCTTAAAATGATAAACATTAAATCAGGAACACCGTTTCATATTTTTTTGCTATAGGAATATTCCAGTTTCACTAATATTAGAGAAGCAGATCATAGTTATAGTAGGAGAATAAAGTTTAAACCATGAATACCAATTAGGTGTATCTTTTTGTTAGAACATATAAAAGTCACAACGCAATAAGTACAGTGTTTGCAATTTAATGCAGAATTTCATTTAACATACTTAATCATATATTGCAGTGTCCATACTTCGAATCACCATATAAATAGATGTATTATTGATTGATAAACTCGTTTCACACGATGCCGGTAAGCTTATCTGAAAAATATTGTCAACTAACGGATCAAATGAGGATAGCATTAAACTGCACCTGTTCCACAAAATACCAATCGGTTATTCCGTATTGGAGAATGACGATTTAACTTGCTAAAGATACATTATACAATAATTCGCTTTTAATTTGCAGGTGACCTAAACAGGACTGAGGTTTACGGCGCCAAAAAATGTATGTAATTCCAGTGCACTCGCACGCGGGTGAAAATCCAGATCATTTCCAAAGCTTTTTCGTAGCTGATCTCAGATGTTTCTTTTTCGGATACAGTTTAGAACTCCTTGAAACATCCGTCACTGCTAGCTCGATACAAGCAATATGGAACAACCGAACTCGACAAAGAATTGCTGGATGCATCAAATCTTTAGCCCAAGTTTTTATTAGAGTATCAATTCCTAGACTCAAAGCTGGGCTACCTTATCTTCCTTTCAATTGCAGTAAGTTTGTGCATTATAACTGCAGTGCAGGGTTACTTCGAATTAGCTTTATGTGACCCGGTAGACACATACAGACATATAAATACATAGAAGTATTAATGTAAAACATAAATATGTATGAACTGTATGGAAATCACAGGCAATAAATTTGAACACAGAAAACTTGCGTATATTTTTACTAACGGAAAAAGCTTTTGAAGATGGTTAGATGTTGCCTTTTTAATATCAAAGATACAAAGAGTGTAAGTCGCGCCGTGTCCACTGTAGATTTGACTACGGATTACTCCGCATATTCTGCATCCGTGCTAATGAAATTTCAAAGATTAAGTTTAATAAAGACCATTAATATAATAGCAGTAAATAATTTTGACGTGGGAAATTTTGTCCCTGCCTGTATCGAACATATCTCCGTAAATTCTCACATTTAGAATAGAGTTTACACAGACTTATATTGACTATGCAAACTTTGAAGGCTCATTATTACAAGTGTGAATTAATTTTTTTGTTTAAATGACAACATCGACATTTTTAACACGCTCAGCTTTGGGCTATACGAAATAGGTGATCATTTAGTTTTGAATTACATGAGTTTAGGCATTTCACCATTAAGTTTTTTAAACCACTGGCAGTTTTACACTTGGTTTGCCAGAAAGGTAAACAGACACAGACGATTCATTGTCACTTCGATACAGCCACCTCCACAAAAAATACCTCACTGGAGCTTCTTGGGGAGTACTAGGTGGTAAAAAAACAATGCTTGTATCTACCAAACTATAATTATGGATCAAAACATCGAATTTAAAATCTGAAAATGGTTGTGGTCGACAATATAAAACGTCAACTCCGATTTGCGGGATTCACCCTAACTCAGTCACTAGCTCACATAAACCGCAGTTATATTTTAGAAATCAATAAGAATTGCTTCTTCAGGCCTTTCTTTAATGTTACAAGCAGAGGATTACTTAGTATTTCGGAACACGAAGCTTATAAGTTTATATCAGTTTCGACTGAGCTGCATTAGGTATGGTTTTAAATTTATTATCGTCAATGTTAATGCACAACTACGTACACGCATAAAAATATACAAATAACAAACTACGCCATACCGAAGATTCAAGAGGCGCACTAATATATCCTATTGCGAGAAAGAGTTCCGATAAACGCAGTGCGCAGACATACTGCTCATCGCACAGAAAATAGACATTGTGGTTGCTCACAATGACAAAAATAATGTAGCTTAAACATACTTCGAAGGACTTAGACCGGAGCAATTTTTAAATTGGGCTGCTCTTTAACACACTCTAAATTATAGATCAGTATTTTAATTTATATGTAACTGAGCACATAGCTAGATTAGTGTCACTTCCTACCAAACATATAGAAGCGCACATTACGAATCTCCTGAGTTGTTTACATCTTAAACCAGAATAATTCCTTTGTATCCCCGATATTTACAATCCCGTAAGACAAATTTTCAAAAATATTTGAAATTTTCTCTGTTTCTGAGACCCCTAACGTACCTTACCTAAAAAATCTATATTAGTATATAATTAAATTTGAAATTAGAGTGTGGACTTCCGTTAATCACCGTTTCGGTAAGTGTGAACATTTAAAGTTTGGCGCCGTACAAACGGGCCGCCCACGTTAAACCAAAACACTAGTTTCGAGAAAGGCGTGTTTCTGTAGTAATAGAATCACACAAGACCATTCAAGGAGTGACATACCACACGCGATTGCCTCAGACACAGTCCTGCTCGATAATTAAAAGGCTTCTGCATTTGTAATACCGATTTCCTATAAAACGGAGACCAGCCGTAAGTCCACATGATATGAAATATGTCTTTTTAACTATTAAACGTTTTGAAATTGCTACTTTGACTGTCATTTTGCAACCGTGGATTTCTTTTATCTGAGTTACTGTGAAATAAATTTATTGTAGTTGTAGTGCAATTTCTTCAAATACGATACAACCGTATTCACTTAAAGAATTGTTTTGTTCACTGTAAAATAAGCATCGTTTGCTTTATTTCTTAATTTGACGAGATATTTCGCGCTGCTCAATCCAATGCCATTTATCTTCTTAACTAAGATCTCTCTTAAGAAAAAAGTTTATTATGTGGTTATAATAGGATTTTTTTGAGCGCACCAGAAAGAAAAGAAAAAAACATACTAGAAAGAAATTTTTAGATTTTAAATGTTCTTTCTGGTGCGTTTTTGGCAATTCGCTGCATTACCATCTTCCGCATTTTATACAGCTGCCTTGCACAATCTGCACCACATTTGTGTCTTTCTAGTTAAATTATAACTACACCTGTGAACAGGACAGCCATTATGGTGCTGTTGACCTCTAATAAACAAGAGCATCTTGTAATGTTACTATGAGGTCATGACAGTGTTCTCGATTTATAACTGAACCATGATGATACATTTTAGGGTTATTTAAGTTGCGAACTCGACCTCTTTTCACCTCGAGTTTTTCTCCTAAAAATAATAGTTTACTCTTAATATCCGTTTTCCTCCGTTGCTTTCAGGGGGTTACACATAATAGTTACCAAGGGCCACAGGGTTTTCCCACTATTTGAAATTGGAAATTACCTTCTAGGATATCACATATAATAGATATTATCGAATATTACTGTTTAAAATCGATAGCTTTTCGAGCACAATATCAGTATTCCAGAAGAACACATACATTTATAACTGAATGTATCAAGCTATATATACAGCTTGTATACATATATATATATAGATTGTAATCTATCACATGATTATTTACAGTGTTATGTAGTCTGAAAATCTCAAAAAATCAACGTGCCGCGAAGAGTAATGTCACTTTTGTAGGCAACTTGACAAGATAAAAAACTTTGAACTATTGAGTTATAACTGACATACTTAGACTTGCCATTAGACGCAAACATATGAGCCTATTTATCTTAAAGGTTTTCCTTTATAAAGGGAAGCCCCAAACCTATTTTTCAATCAACCAAACGCTATTTTTTTTTTACTTACCGAGAGAATAACAATAGCTATAGTTCGTACCTCAAAGCTTCGGACTAGAGTTTGACAAACTTTATTCTAAGGCTTTATAAGTCCGAATAAGAGGCTTGACATAAGCGTGGCAATGTAACTGAGTAGATGTGTATTTTGTAACTTGCATGCTTAGTTTTGTTAGCTATTTCTAATGAAAGCATATGTTTTATGTCTATTGGCTTACACCATAATTAGTTCGCAAAACAGCTGATTCAACAGCTAATTAGTACTCACTAAATGTTTATCTTTTGTATTTCAGGCTGCTTCACTACTTCCTATCAGATACACCTACTGTGTAAACTTCGTTTACAATGGAAGATATTTTCCACTGGTGTCGCGAAGGTAATGCATTCCAAGTGCGAGTATGGCTTGAAGACACCGAACATGACATGAATCAAGGGTAAGTTTAATCTACAACTTTTTGCTAAATTTGAACCGAAAATTTAAAAAAGCTCTGGATAATTGGATAAGCATTGGAGTGCACGTTACCTTTGAACATTAATAACCCAGGGTCTTCTATACATCTAATTCTAGTCAAGCGTATTTATTATACAAGATGATTTGAAGCTATCATTATTGATGAAGCATTGTCTGTTAACTAAAAATGGACTGGCAGCAATCAGTTATCCTAGTGGTAAGGTACTCTGTTCTTATGTTCTTATTCAAGTACATAGGACCTTAAATTATATACTTTTATTACATGATAAATACGGTAAATGGGTAGATTTGGGACAATTGGGTTAGAATGGGCTATAAGTGAGTGCCATTTTTTAATATCATGGCTGGTTTTTAAATTATCTAATGTTAGAAAGCCGTTACGTTGCTTACCAATGCCACGTGGCAACTTCGCGGATTGCCATAAAATCAACCAAAAATTCACTCTTGTAAGTTAAAGGAAACCTTAAATTCATTCAATACTTCGATATTACATCAAACGATAATAAAAACCTAAAAAATGTATAGACTCAATATCAATGTAATATTTTTGAAAATTTATATGTCAAAATAGTCTTTTCGGCGGTCAATCTTGAAAGAACTAAATACGGAATTTCGGTGCTGCGAGTCAGTAAATAACTAAAGCGTAATGAATGAAGAGGCATAAGCATATTTGAGTTTTACATAGAGGACGTCGTCCTACGCGAAAAGTTAGTTTGGCAAAAAATGCAGTATAATGGTAAAGTCGCCAGTTATTTTCGCTTTTTTTTTGTCTTGTGGTTAATGTTAATTTATGCGTTAGCTATACGTAAGAGGCATTGAAAGCCAATGCATAGATTAAGGCCCTGTTCGATTCTATGATCCGTGGAATAAGCTCGTTTATATATCACCACTCTTCTTAAGTTTCGTGATGTTTTTCTGAGCAAACAAGGCAAGTGAGGCTGAATAAAACAGAAATTAGAGAGCGTAGCAATCGGAATTGAACATATTTAATACATGAGTAACTATTATTAAGACGAAGGGAAAAGATTAATATTTGTAAATATTAATATGCAAAAGGATACACTGATAATGGATAACGTTTTTATTTTTCCCGTATGACAACACTGACTGTTCTTACTTTTCTAATGTTCATAAATGATGCGTAAACGATTTGTAATGCTACGTATTATTTCTAAATCGAATTGGCTCTTTCAATTTTCACTTTCAAGATTATCTTTAGACATAGATATAAACGCGCTCGAAGAAATAAACACATATATAGGCAACCTATGCTAATAAAAAACTCAATAATTTATGGACCTTGTATGAATACTTATGCTACTCTGAATAATTGGTTTTGCCGTTTCATTACTGTGAACCTTTAAAATAGTTACACGCATGTCTTGCTTTCACCAATGATAGGTGACGAAACAGTCTATTGGCACTGTATTGAGAGAATAAAATAATGATTGGTTGCAACGGAACGATTTATCGAAATCGTGCTGGATCGGGTTCCAATCATGTTAATTTACAGACACAATCGTTGCAAAGACGAAATATATTGGGAAAAAGAGTGCCCGTTGCAGTATATGTGTTAGAATATTGTGCTATGAATATATAGTTTTATCCACTTTGATGTTTTAGGTACTGGTACTACTTTAAGCTTAAGTGAAATTTTGAACTTCACGGAAGATAAGCAGTGGAAACAGTGAACGGTGGTACTAAGAAGGTCTGATGGTGTTTAGAGAATTATAATCTTTCGATAATTTCAGTATATGCGGTACTTTTCAAAGTTATCAATCGATGTTTGAGCTCTATTGGAAGAAATATTCTGTATGAACTAATAACAAAAATGCATATATAGATAATCCCATAAAAACGAAAGGTTTGTTATTTGCGCTCTTTTTTCTATTTTTTTTTGTTGTAGTGGCCCGGAAGTGCGTCTAATTGTAAAGAATAAATGCAAAAAGCAAATATTTGCAGAGCAAGTTGTATGCGAAACTAGAAACATATATATGTTTCCATGAAGAACGGTGGGCTTTTTTAGCAAAAAAATTCTAACAAAAAAGGATTTAGATGGAAGACAAATGCTTTTGTTGAAATATGAGACAAGATTGCCTGAAAAAAAGTAGGCATGCAATAGGTTTACGGTGAAGTCATATGTAAGTTTACAATTTCATTTTGCGATAACTGATGAACTAAAACGCTCTATTTTACTGTCTTAATGTAAAGAAAAACTTTATCCTTATCTATATACATCTCTTCAGCAATTAATTAGCAACTAATAAAGTAAGTAACAATAATAGTAATTTTTATGAGTACATGAACGACGGTCTTAAGAATTGCATTTTAAATGTAACTTTACAGTATCATATTACTATTGTCAGACGCTTCACTGTTTAACAGGTTGGAATTCATGTAGATCAAAAACCACGAGAGCTCAAAATTGGTCCCGAGTAAAGCTGACTGCTGATTCCTTCGTTTCCCTTAGGGCAGTAAAGAACGATATTCTAATACTGCAGTTTTCAGCTTTGGTCATATTGTTGAAATGGGTTACTTCTGAGTTATGTTTGCTGCTTTTCTACGCGTACGATAACAAACAGGTCTAAAATTCTGGAGAAAGAACCGCGCTTTGTATTAGTCAAATATCTATCGCCTCTGAGATCGACCTTCTGTTGAAACCGACCTCTGTTATTTGACCAGTACCAGTTGTTGACATATTTCTAATTTATCGTCTGTTAACAGCCATGTCAGGGTTTCTGAAAGCAAAGTAAAGGTAACACCCAGTTGTGGTGTGGAGTGATCTTTTACGACCGCCTCTAGGCGACCTTTCCAACGCTACGAAACGTGGAATAGTTTTATACACTTGTTCGGATCTTAAGTTAAGCGCTTCGCTGTTAACTGCCAATCGCATTTAATTACGTAGCCTTATAACTTCAAAACACGACTGCGTGATCTGAATTATAGCTTTCGTGTGAGCTTTGTTATTATGATCTATAAAAAAGCCTTCGTGCACCTTTCGCCTCGACCTTCAAAAAATTCGTGTGCAATGTATACCAAAGCAAATCTATACCATCAGCATGTAAACATAGGCAATTTGGATTTGATTCAAATGTAGCCTTGTCTGAAGGTTCTGGTGGAGTGTAGGTGTTGAGATCCCACTGGCATACGTCCAGTTCTCGATAATTCATGCCTTCACGCTTTTATTCTACTTTTCGTTATGTTTTATACCTCTATCTGACTCTATGAACAAATGCACTTCATAATGCTTTATTTAAATTACTTTTCAAGTAAGATTCAGCTTACGTGTCCTATTACACTAGGCTATTACTGTTTATTTACTTCACCTGGTATTCGATTGTTGCTACCGTTGTACAATAGTACTTGTACTACTAGCACTGTATATCATTACTGTGACACACTCGAAAAAGCACTATGGACAGAGTCCGCAAGATACAAGGTATTGCACAAATTAAGCAGAAGTAACGCATTTGTAGCATTCATTCTCCAGGGGGGAGAAAGTATTAAAAAAATGCGATTATAATTGTTTTAAGGTAATAATTAACAAAGAATAGTTCAATTTAACGGAATTCCTACGGTGAAAAAAATGCATGCAAAGCAAAAAGACCACTGCATTTTCCTGCATTAAAACATTGTTTTATACTGATGCATTTTTAGACACAGGTGTTTAGACCGTTTCTCATTTACTGAGTACTGTTTAGTTTATTTAGGCATAAGGCGTTTACTTTGAGATTACATAGATCACGCAGTATGTTGTTTTTGCCTGTCCAGATCAACCTATCCGGGGTTCAATTTGAGGAGTCTCAATGGAAGCCACTAATGCTGTTTCAGGCGAGCCCCCGTCTACATTTTGGTCATCTTTCACTAACTGCAACCACCACGGCTACTAACAACAGCTTCTGCTTCTAACAAGAACAACAATAACTTCGCTCATCAGTTAGTTCGCGGTAATGAACGAAGTGCGCCGCAGTTAAGCTTGTGCCTGAAGATTACTACGCCTTTTCTTGTAAGCCAATTTAAGATATCAGAGTCTCGAAATGAAAATTACTTTTTCTCAAAAAAGTCGTTTTTGGGACCCAATTGTTACCGATTGGCAGCTCAAAAAGTTGTAGCTGCTATTGTCAATCTTACGAGTAACACCACATCGCGCTGGTGTCTTGCCTGAGAGGGAAAACGCCAGAAAGCAACTCTCAAGCGCCATACATTTACCGTCTTCGTAGGTAAGGGAAAATTGAGCTGAGAGGTGCGAATAAGACTAGCATTGCGTGTTGGAGATGAGAGGATGAACAAGACACGAGTGAGTGCCGAGTAAACGGATGCCATTACTATTGATATCTTTCCACGGTCAGAAAGAGGTGAACTGTATCTGCCATCAAGTACTGTGCAGCACCAGTCGTTCTCAGTGAACTTCTTGTTCTCACCAAACAGAAAAACATAGGTAAATTATAAACGTTACTGGTTTAAAACATTTTATGTATTCGGTAAGACGGTTTATTGTGTTATAGGAGTTATGGTAGGCAAACATATACAAGACGATGAACTTCCTGGAAAAGACGTCGCAAAGGAGTTCTATGCTCGCTATGAACCGAAAGAGATATTGGGCAGGGGGGTGAGCTCAACAGTACGTCGGTGTGTAGAAAAAGATACTGGTTACGAATTTGCGGCGAAGATTATCGACGTGTCAAGTTCCGATGCTACGAGTGAATCTTCTTTTCTTGATGCAACTCGAAGAGAAATTTCAATTTTGCGACGAGCAGCTGGTCACCCGCACATTATTCAGCTGCATGACGTGTTTGAATCGACGACGTTTATTTTTCTGGTGCTTGAGCTGTGTCCTCATGGTGAATTGTTTGACTACTTGACCTCGCTAGTGACACTGTCAGAAAAAAAGACTCGTCACATTATGCGCCAGCTTCTGGATGCTGTAGCCTTCATTCATGACCATGACGTTGTGCATCGTGATATCAAGCCTGAAAACATTTTGCTTGATGAGAAATTTAATGTTAAGGTTACAGATTTTGGTTTTGCTACCGAGCTACCCCAACAGGCAGAGCGGCTTCGGGAATTGTGCGGCACGCCGGGCTACCTTGCACCGGAGTTACTAAAAGCTTCGATGTATGAAGCAGAGGATGGCTATGGTCGCGAGGTCGATGTGTGGGCTTGCGGGGTCGTAATGTACACCTTGCTGGTTGGATTTCCACCCTTTTGGCACCGCAAGCAGATGATTATGTTACGCGCGATTATGGAAGGTCGTTACGAATTTAAATCACCTGAGTGGGATGATGTCACTGACACAGCTAAAGACCTAATACAAGCAATGTTAACTGTTGATCCGAGTAAGCGGATCACGGCTCATCAAGCGCTTCAACATCCGTTTTTTGGCGGCGTGTCTGGTGAAAGTCAGCGAGTATTTAACGGAAAGAAAGCTTTCCACCTGGCCTGTCTAACAGTACGCGCCATGATTCGAATACGCCGACTAAAATATACGCCGGAACTAATTACTGCAGACGTTGTTGTTCGTGAACCCTACCGCATACGTACATTACGCAGAGCCGTCGATGCATGCGCTTTCCGTGTGTACAATCACTGGGTAAAACGTGGAGAGGTACAAAATAGGGCTGCGTTATTTGAGAACACACCAAAATGTGACCTTCTTAATATTATCAACAACTCGTACAATGTTAACAAAGAAAACGTACAAGGTTTAATATGAAGAGAACAGGATCTCCTCAGTTGAAGCCGTCTGAAAACAAGTGGGTTTGGAAATATCACGTGTATGTTACTTGCCCCGTTTCTAAATCTCACTTATCGTAGTCTATTAAAACCTGTTTATAGAACTGGAGATCACGTACTCTAAGTGAGGCACAACATATAAAAAACAATTAACATATAAAAACATTAAAAAAAAGTGGAGCACACGTGTAAAATAAAATCACGGCGATAATGATCTAGCAGCGAATGGGTACTTGTGGTAAAGGGAATGCAGCCGGCGAGCTTTTGTGTAATTAAAAACAATTGACATACTACTATAGTAATTAAGTGGACTATTTATTAATTGTACATCAACGTAAACGTATTTTTAATCTAGTAAATTCTAAAGACTAAAAGCATCAGATATTCTATTTGATTGACGTTTTAAATTGTAAAAGATGCTTGGTAGCACGAATCGTCGTCGCTTTCGTTTTGGATGGTTGGAGTGATTGCTCTTATAGTGAATTGGTTCTAGAATACACTCCACTCAAATGCCGTCAATAAATGTGTGAATAATGAAGAATTGACGAACGAACGCATCCAGGTATCACGTTTTGATTCACATAAGTACAATTTCTACGATGCACATAGCCATACCATATAAGAACATTGCTATTATAAAAATTGTTGAATTCTTTCCTACATGTTACGCTATATAGAATTAATAGCAGGCGAATTCTTAAAAAACCGATGGCAAGCCGATTCATGCAGCCGGTAATTATGTCAGACCAATCAGGCATACAACCTTCTGTAATGCAAGCTGTTAAAAATTTAGTAGTGGTCAAGTGAACTACATGAGGTGGTACATGAGCAACAAATTTGAAAGCCCGTGTCGATAAATTACATAAATAACTTTGTAACGACGGCTGGTATTTACCCTTATATAAGTACGGTCGACCAGCAGGAATAAATGGATCAGAGTTGAGAACGCGAATGTGTGTATACATTTTTGCATTCTCAGAAAACATGCCACTTTTTTGACATAGCTACAACGAAGTTGCTTGCGTTAAAATGGTACAAATGCGTGCCTCAGCATACAGCAATTGTGATTTTTAGGATTATTTATTGTCTATAATGCCTGATAGATTTGTCATTTGTCAGTAGTATCATACGTATAAGTTCAATTAGTTATACCCAAAAATTGATTCTTATCTATAAAGAGTGCTCATAGGTATCCTTACTTATTAAAATGCTCGCTGTCGAAATATCTTTGAAGCCTTTTTACTAACAGAATAACCTATGCAAGTAAATTATTTTCTAGACCATGGTTAATAATTTTTATTTTGTACAATTGTCTGATTGTAAGTTATTTAATAAAAAAGAAATATGTGAGTTACTGTCATAAAAAGCATTGTGGAGTTTTCTATCTATTAATGTTTATTTTGAGTAAAGGTTGAATGAAATTTGAATCGGGACTCTATAAGCTGTTTTTCACCCGTCTTTAAAAAAGCATATCTTTTTATTGAAGAACATTTACTAACCACTGTGTTGATGATTTTTGATCACCTTTATTGAATCTTCTACCATGTTTACAAGGTATTTGGACATAAAACGGTGTTTACGTTGTGAATATATAGCCCTAAGAACATTAATTTCGTCTTTAATTTCAATATGGCTTTATTAAGAAATTTTGCATTAGGCTAAAAAGGTGGTAAAAACAAGCACTGCCTCCTTCTCTAGGGATACGTTGCACTTCTTAACCTACAATTATATTTTCTCGTAACATTATAAGTCCGTCTTAAGTTTCGTTTTCATTTATATTTGTTTTATTTTGGAAAAAATCTATATTTGTTAGATGTTGCTAACACGCGAAATGGGCAATTGCTAAGCTTTTAAGGTACCCAAAAAATCCAAGGGTTCTGATGGACTTCTATTTCAACGCGATTAGGTGCTAGTATTCCAACGACTTAGCGTAGGGATTACAATTTTGACTTTTGCTAACAAGAAGCAGACATTTAAGAAAGACTAGGGTAAGAATGTCGAATCCTTTCTTGTGTGTGATAGAAGTGTGCGAATTTTTTTGCTGCTTCCGCTGAAGCATATGGGGTAGCAGTATAAGGTTCTATTGCTAAGGCATGCTGAGTACCGCCAAAAAGCAGAAAGTAAATGTGTGCCTTGCGTCTCCGTATCAGCACCTTCATTGTTGTATGTAATGTCCTCCGATGACAGTGTTCAGATACACAGATTTAAATAGGGATATCTAACTGTCACATTTAAAACTTCGAAGATTTTTAGACTCCCTATTAATGTGCAGGTCTCAGTAGTACATATTATCATCCTTGCCCAAAATTTCCTTTAGTAAATGATGAAACCTTAGGTGGATTAACGCTAAATACGGTCAAGTCATAAATTATCGTCGTTGACAAGCTTGGAAAAGCGTTAGACGCTGTAGTTTACCTAGTCGTTAGTCTTCTCTCAGAAAACGAGGCAGATTAACTTAGAAATATGTGAAGATCTAAGGAGTCCTAATTTCCAGAAATTTACCTCTACGAACAAATTGAATCTTTTACTTATTTACTTATTGGATAACTCTTTTGATTCTCTCAGATAAGTGCCAATCGTTGAAAAGAAACAAAATTCATATTAGCACAACGCGTCGGCTGGCAGGCTGATCTATTTAAAGATACAGCCTAGTCTTGCTGCCTTTCATCTCTACAGAAGCGTGCAGCAAAGTAGCGTATTCAAAAATCAGAGACTTACTATTTGAAAAAGAGAGATTCTTACTGTGCATAAGTAAATACTGAATAAATACTGTAAATACCGAATGTAAAATAAAAATTTAGTCTACACGCAACCTGGCTCACCCGTAGTGTCCGTACGCTTGTATGAAAATAAACTACTTCAAATGTAAATACCATAGAATGGCACGATGAAGTTAAATGCCACCTACAATCTATTTTTGCCATGCATTGTTAAAGTAACTCAAGTGTTTTTTGAAAACTCCGACATAAACCTCAAAATACGTATGTTGAATTAAAAATCTTTCAAATGTGATCGTTCATTTTTAAACTTTCAAATAAAGGTGCCTCGCCAAAGTGTCATTGGTCTTTATTACTTGCCTTTGTAAAGGGCGAATATGAAGAAATCTGACTAAATTGTCAGCACACAAACCGAACTATTTTTCCAGCATTGCTAAAATTTAATGGCGCATGGTTGCGCCATTAAAATAGACTGCTCACAACTACTATATGTATATAGCATATATAGATACACTTTAGTTTACTATCAAGTTTGACATTTTTAAGATATAGAAAGTTTATTTCTTTAAGAAATAGTTAATGCAACGTATATTTTATGTTTTTATATGGAACTGAGCACGATAATTCAAATCTGCGAAACGCGATAATATGAGATAGCTTAATTTCATTACCAAACTTCACCCCAGTGTCACCGATTGGTCGGCCAAATCAGTTACTACATTTTCAAACTCTCTGGCTTTATTAACAAGGAAATTTATATAAAAAGTAAATATCTTTAATCGTAGCTCAGTAAAATATGAAGGCGCTGAAAGTTGCAACAAGAATGTAAAGTTGCGTCATTGGGGCCAATTAAACAGAAATTTAACCATGTCAGATGGAGTATAAAAGTGAAAAGTCGTTCAACAGGTCAGACGATACTCACTCAAATGAGAAGTGTTTGTTTTAGATTTGTACGTTAGTCAAAATCCAAGATTTTTTCTACAGATTGGGAAATTACGGGCTGTGATCGAAACCAGTTAGATGAGTTAAGTACATTGGAAAACAGAAAATCAAAGTTATATTACAAAGTTAGACTTAAACTACATCAATTCATGTGATACCTCAAATTTTCCTCAATGGAAGTTGCCTCTTCATTGACTGATTGGCGGTCCGTTAGATAGTATCTCAGTCGTTTAGAAGAAACGCATCGTCGTTCATATGTAACACGAAAATGGGATGCATAGTAAAGTAGCTGAAAATTTGATTCTAGGTAAGATCACTTTTGTTTGGGTTACTACAATATTGCTTAGGGTAAAACACGTTCTGGAAGCCGTTATTGAAAGCTAAGCCAAAACTACTGTATCAGAATGCCTAATATTTAGCGCGTATGCAGATAGTTGGTCCTAATGATATAAAATAGGTATCGATTGCGAGTATTTTAGGAGACTGCAATGAGAGTATGTTTTTAATTACTTGAATGAAGAAGAATATTTCACTGAAATTACAGCGAAAAGACTGGTGTAAAAAACGTAGTTCCTTAAAAGGCAGCCTTGAAGTTCCCTGTAATTCCATTTTCTAATTTCATTCACACAACAAGTGAGATGACGTAACGAAATTAAAAATTTTACTTCTCAAACCAATAATGTTAGCTTGTAGTAGGCCCAGAAACTTGGTTTTTGACTACACGAGCTGGAACAACGATATTCTGGGATACGCCAGATGTACCTCCTTTTACTGTTTGCACATTGAAGCCAGCGCTATAAACTTCTGAACAGTTGTACACTTGACTTAGTTTGCCATATATAATCTCTAATATATATATAATATATATATATATATATATATATAACCGTTTCAAAACAAGAAAACGATCGAAATCTTACGAACTTAAATCCGGAACATATGATTGCTTGAACTATCGTTTAGTCCGCTATCCTTTGATCTAGGCCATGATTAAAGCTCAACGTCGAGCCCGTGCATTCTGTCTGTCGATTGCGTGATACATTCACAAGGTTCTTCATGAAGTCGACATATCTGGCATTGACTTCTTCTGTTTCAGACAGTATCTCGCAATAATAAAGGCCTTTGGTATTCATCTTGAGAATAAGCATTAGCTTAGCCCGAAATTATTGGTCACTGTTACCAGAGTCGTTTTTTGTCCTATTTATGCCCAGTCCTTTTCTAATGTTGGCATGAACCCATATCTTAATTAGGTTAGGTTAACTTAACTGGACGGTTTTTTGTAAGTAGTAATTGCAAACATTCTCTGTAGAGTATACCACGCGTGTTTCCGTCTGTTCTGGATTATGTTGGTGAGGAAGCTAGTTTTAGCTTTCCCCCTTCACTTTCAGTTTTTCCTATAGTTCCGCACTGAACCGACAGAAAGCACGTTGTCTATACTCTCTTTCACTCAAAAGTTTTGATAGTCCCAGCAACTTGTGCTTCCTTTAAGGGTACGCAGGTATAGTCAAAACTTTGTTTATGAGACTACACTCGCTTTATTGGACAGATCAGTATTTGGCCGCTTTAAAGGATAGGTTATACTCTTGAGTATAGGACAATAAATTGAGTTCTTTAAGTGTGAACAAATCTATGCAATTAACTTTTAGAAACAGCAATCGCTAGATAAAACTGTCAGAAGGAGGCTAGTGACTTCACTTGACTTAAAATAAAGAACTCGCAAGTACTACTGAACATAACAGCAAGGCGCATCATTTAAATTATCTCTTGGAAACACAGCTGCAGAAATAGTTCACTGTATAAGCCGTGTACTCCGTAAATGGTCTAATCTAATACTAAAAAGCACCGTCTTTAGTTTAAAAAATGCTATTTAAAATATCTTGTTAGGTTCGTTTGGTGACTTACAGCAGGTGTTATCCTCTACAGCTTCATGAGTATTGGTTCGCGGATTACTACTGAAGCGTATGGTCAATTACTAGAAGAGAAGATGAAAAAATGTTTAATTAAGCGGCCTAGATTAGTTAACAGAGGTAAACCACATCTCTTATTTGACAACGTTCGACCTCATGCCTCAAGAATTACGGCGGAAAAAATGTACAAGTCACAGTTAGTAGCCCTCTAACATCTACTGTACTTATGTTAGTTATACAAATTACCATTTATTTCAAAATTTAAACAATTTTTTGGCAGAATAATTATTCAAATCTCAATATAGTGTGGAAATTGCATTTCGAGACTTCATGACTCCCCCCCCCCCCCCCAGATGGTCGTAATAATGATGCATTCTGCAATAAGATATAAACGAAAAATCTCAGAAAAACTCAAGCCAACTACTCGACGTTTCCCACCGAATAACCTAATAATAATAATCATAATAGTAAAATAAGATTATTTCGGTCAGTATTCACGTTACACGCGAAACATACTCATCATGTGCGTTTGTTTGAGTATTTGTTTATAATTAATAGTCACATTGAAGATCTGTTGAAACTTTAAGTGTTAAAATAGCCTCATTCTATCAGCTCATGGTGCACTTTGGTTCTGTTCACCACCTTATTCATTGATTCGCCCGTTATGTTCTCAGATGCCATGTACGTTGAAACTACAGGGTTTGTCAAAAGGTTGGAACAGTTTATTAGAGAAAACGGCTTTTGTTTAACATCTAGTAAAAAATTCTAGAAAAAACGTGATTTGAAAATTCTGTCTTGATAGGAAAGCTCTCTTCTGGTGTTCATGCAGCGTACTTAAAACCATTTTCATTAACAAATGTATGTAATTTGATTTGCTAGTGACGAGAAAACATAGTAACCCGTCTGCACGAAATTTAAAAATATGGCTTTTTGTAAAAACATACCTTTGCAAGATGAGGCTGTTAAACAGCTTATATCATGCGTGTCCCGGACGTTATGCTGAAAAAGGGTAAATTTGCCTCATTTATGTGTCTTTTTTATAAAATAGATTTATTTACATTTTAAGGTTGGCCAATATACAGACCCTCGCCGATCGTTTCGTTTTTTTTAGGCATCTCTGGGTGTTTAAAACCCTTTCAGTTTTACCAAAGACAAATTGAGAGATATATGAGTATTCGTGTTTTTTAACAGTTTGTGGGGTACCTAGCCCTATAATTTTTGATCAGATTCGAAAAATTTTAAATGTTTTTGTTTAATTTAAAATAAAACCCCCATTTTACGACGGTGGTTTAGTGGCAGCTAAGTTTCCCGTCTATATCAGCTGGTCAGCCAGAAGGGACTAGTTCAAGATTTTGTCTTTGAATTTAGTAAATTACTTGCAGCGTTTCCGTAAGTATTTCGGAGTGATAGTTTTTTTGATACGCGACACATTGTTTATATAACAAGAAGCAAAATAAAGTTAGACCGAAAATGTGTATTATTTAATCTAAAGTATTCTTCTTTATAGCCTAAGTTCAAGTTAAAAAGGAAAGAACTCTTTCGAATAATACATAGAACTAAACAATTAATAGAAATATAAATGAGAAAGAAATATTTGAAGGATCCGCCAGCACTTTTTGACAAAGCTAACATATATGTATTAGTTGTTTAAAGATACTGTGCATCAACATGAAACCTATACGTAAACTATAAAGTCAGAGATGATGACTTTGATAAAATTACACTCTTATATTCTATATAGAATGGTCGTAACTCTGTAGTCGTGGTAGATAAGAGAGATATAAGAAATATAAAGTTTGGGTAGACTTTTCGGTAATTGTTCCGCTAAGATTTACAAAACAGCTTGGATTTACATAACGAACTCAACAAATTTCTGCGATGCCATGCTGCTTTTCCGCATAAGAGAATTCTAATTCATATAAAAAAGATGTAAAGGACATAAAAATAATGTTAGTTACATAAGCTTATATTATTGTATTTTAGGGATGATCATGGTTTCACTGCTTTGCACTGGGCCGCTAAAGAAGGTCACGTTGGGATCGTGGATCTATTGATTAATCGTGGATGTCGTGTTAACGCTTTCAACCTTGGAGATGATACCGCGCTTCATCTCGCATCAGCCCACGGTCATCGCGATGTAGTTATTATGGTATGTATATTGCTAAGGTTTTTCAAGCTGAATCGCCTGTCTTTAGATCTTAAAAATGCCTCTATTTTAAATTTTTATTTGAGGCGAATTTTAGTAAAAGCTTGAGAAATATATAGTGTACTAATTGGCCTTAAAAATGACGTTAGCAATGTGATTTTTTAAATGCCAATAATTATAAAATTTTTATGCATTAAAAAGCGCGATCTTGTCATTGTTCTAAAAACGAATATCATCTCTGATGCTGGTTAACTCTTGCCATATCCACGGGCACTGTCTAGTACGACCACCACGTACGATATGGATCAATGATTTAGACAATAGGTTATATATAGTACCGACAATGGAA